TATCATTCCAACCATATAACAGACTATACAATGATATACCAACTTTTGTATTTGTATACAGCTAGTTAATTTTTTAAACAAATATTACGCGATATGTTTTCCAATTCCGTAACGAGTTTGATAATTCTTTTTTCTTAACAGAATACATTTATTTTCATGAAATTTAAACATTACTTTATAATATTATAAAGAGGAAAGATTTATTTGTTTGTTTGTAATAAAGAAATTCAAAAAATTACTCAATCGATTTTAAAAGTTTATTCACCTATAGCAAACTACATTATTAGGAAATAAGAGAAGCTATATATTATTTTTTTAATAGAAGTTCCTACGAAAATTATAATGCAACCCAGAATATCCAAAATTTGCCTATTAAAGCAAATATAAAATACTCATTTATTTTTCTATCTATACCTGTGCGAAGCCCGAGTGAATCGATAGTATCATTCAATTTTAGTAATGATTGAAGTTACTCTCTACTGTTACAGTTATTTTTTGTGGAGAAAAATCTTAAAATTAGCTATGTGGTTCCGGCCAAGGGATAGCCTATTCTATGGCCATCCCTTCCTTTCCTGTGGATGTCATAGAAGCCCACTAAGGAAGCGAGGCATAGGTAGCAGCGTCCCTCTTAAAACATCTCTAAAGCCTAACTGCGGTTGCCAATCTGCTTGCCAAGCATGGCAACGTCAAGCTAAACACCCCAAGAGGGAGGCTTATGTTCAGCAGTGGACAATCAAGGGCTGATATGATGACGCTGATAATGATGAAAACCTTAAATTTTATTTTAAAAATATCTTTAATTAAATCGCCTCCTCTCTTCGTTTGTAGCATGAGCATACCAAACGTGACTATGTCAGAGTTTATTGGAGTACAATTGCATTTACAATAAATGTTTCATATAGACGTCAACTCCACAGAGACATTAAAAATACGCCATAAATATTTACTATATTCTTGGTATATTACCTACTGACATCGCTTTTTTGTACTTAATATGCTAAGCATATTAATAGTGTTAAATAATAAAGAAAATTTCACAAAAATCAAGTAATCTTTTTTTTATTATTTTAATATTACATCTGGAGTCAGCAGCTTATATCTAGAATAATTAAAAATATTATGTTTACACCATACATTAGCCAATTACAGATTCCCAATTTGTATACCAGAAAATATTATACTTATTTTTGGAGGGTAGGTTAAATTAAATAGAAAAAAAATACAAAAATAAAATTTATGGAGATACTTCATCACTGGGAGTTTAGCAATAATTAGTGTAAAAGTGTGTACTATTTGTGTGTGTAGTGTTACGTAAACGTGGTGTACAAAAAAACAAAATATCATGTGATGTAAATAAATATTTCTGATATACTTACAGACAGTGTATGAGTAAATTATATAATAATATATAATATTATATATTAAGCTATGATTAATTGAAAATGTAAATATATACAGTAAAACCTCTAATATTCAATTTCCAAGTCAAATCAAATAATACATAAATAAATTAAATTTTTTTTATTATATAAAGGGTTTTACACAATAGAAGCTACAGAGAGCCTCGACATAGAATGTCAAGGCTGTTTTGACGCCGAAGAAACGGCTGTTCATCTTATCCTGGAATGTGAAACTGGCCCCTAAACGTTTAGAAATCCTCGGAACAGTGAGGTCGCTCCGTGAGGCAGAAGCTCCCTGGGATCTTCACAGTGCTTCCGGGCGGAGCTGGGCTGGCTGTACTAGCCATGCGTCATACGCACAACGGCCCAAATGAGAGGCGAAGCGCAGCAAATATAGTCCAATTTACATTTTACACAAAGGTTAAATCAATAATTGATTTATTTTATGGTTTATCCTATTACTGAAATTACCCGTACGAGGGCAAAAACTAGCATAAATATAAAACGTTTTTCATCACACTCATTACATCAGCCGTTAACTATGCACTGCTGAATGTAGTCCTCCATCATAAGTGTTGTGCCAGTAATTGCCACACTTTAAAGGCGGATTGACAACCGCGGTTAGGCCTTGGTGATGTATTAAGAGGGACGCTGCTGCCCATTTCTCGACCAATAAGTTAGTTTTTTATACAACTTAGAATGGCAAACAAGCTGACAACCCACCTAATGAAAAGTGATAACCGTGCCCTATAGACATGAGCAGTACCGTAGAGTATATTGTTTCACCCATGTAACCCCCCCCCCCAATGCGTTGTCATTCCTGAGGAGTTATTTGTCTGTACCCAGTAAATTCACTGTCATATCCCACCCTTCAAATCGAAACACAGCCATGCAAACACAACTGCTTTACGGTTAAAACAAGAATAGGAGAGAGGTACCCAAGCAAACGACTTATGTACAAAGTCTCCCTCTGGTAAAGTTTAGCGGCCTCTTACGACACCAACGGGAAACGAAGGAGTGGCCATAGAATTATGCCGAGACCACCAGACATATATATATGTATATATGCGGTGTCTATATATAATAAATCCTAATGAAATCTTTGTACAAGTAGGTGTTTTTTCATAATACAAAGAGCAAACGAGCATGCGATTCACTTAACGGTAAGTGACTACCGCCGCACATAAGCACTCGCAAAATCAGAGACATTGCAATAGTGCTGCCGGCCTTTTGGTGTGATGAACAGCGTCGCCGAGCCGGCCAGGAAGCGACGACGTTATAACCTAGATGCACTGGAACTGCTTTTAGATAACAGGAAGTTTTGAAAGGAGACAAAGAAGACCTTTGCTTAGCAGTGGTACATCATGGGTTAACAAATAGAGTAGAATGGAACAAGTAAATAAATTAAATAAGTTTGCAATAATATTTTTTTAAATAAAGAATTCAATATTTAAATCCGGAATCGTATTGAAAAGAAAAGAAATATTATGAAATATTATGGAATGAGATATCACGAGAACCCCGTGCTATTTCTCATTCCAATACTGAACGGTGAAATATGTGCGCACTAAATTTATATTAGGAAACAATGGCACGGCACGGCGGTGCCGCGGCGCGCCTTATTCTAGATTTTTCGCCGTTTGCCTAACAGAAAACAATGAGTGTCCACTACTACGTTTTGTTCAGATGATCAACCGCTTTAAATACGTGCGTATCGAGATTTTTTTGAGCGACTACCAAAAATAGCGTTACTAAGTTCGACTATTTTTATGGCTATACGATGCGATAACGTAACTAATTCTGTAATTATTTTTTTTATATTTTTTTCGTGTTTGATAAGATCCATTCCCATATTGATCCCAATCCATTTTGTTAGAATATTAGAAACATCATTGAAACAAAGCCACAAAAAGACAACTGTGCGATTCGAGACGCTGTGACACAAAGCGCCAGACGTTCCCTAGAAAAGACTTCCAGATGAAGTCGAAATAATTATCGTAAACGACAAACATATTTGTTGATAAAACGGACTACCAGTCCCATTGCTATCAATATATTCTACCAGATAAACCTCCACATGATCCCTTCTGGAAACCATTGTGCTAAATCCCATCACGATGGGCTAAATGACCTGCCTTTTCATCTCACCTCTCATCCCCACAGGTGCACGTATACAGATAGCGCAGGTGGGGTGACCATTCCATTATCATCCATTAAAGAACAGCTGCTTTGCGACAGAAACACAAGTGGGCAGAAGTACCCATGCAGGTAACTTTTGTATAAAGTTTTCCTCGATCGAGTCGAATCGAGACTTAATTTAAATAATTGATCAAAACTCCTTAGTAGCACGACTATTATGAAAATTAGTTTTCTTTACCCCCTACTGACGTTAGCAACTATAAATTACTAAAAGGTTCGACAGGTTGGGGAAATCGAAATAACAGATGGGTGGATTACTGTAGTCGGCAGGAAAGTGTTCTATTTTATTTTTTTTACTACTGGAAATACCAGGCGAGTTGGCCGCCTGGTGAAAAATGGTAGGTAACCGTCACCTATAAGGATGCCATAGATATTTCAGAATATAAAATATATTCTGCCTACTTTGATACCAGTCGTGCGTTAGTGCTCTTGAGCATCAAAATTCTTGTATTAGAAACTAATTAGTAGTTTAACTGCAAAAGTACAATTACAAATTGAAAACATAAAATTTGTCTCTGTCAACTTATAAATTGTATGGTTATTCATTTAATATATCATAAGTTAACAGAGATATCTTATTGCTCATCTATTAAATATTATCATTTATTGATTATTTTACCACATATTGAACAAATAGAGAACATAATGAAAAAGGATCTCGTAAACCAAAATAATGTTGTAATATCCACGAAACAAATTTATTCTTTCGCTCTAACTAAAATTGTATAGATTTTAGATGACTTTTCCTTAATAGATTTTTGTTAAATTTACTACACAAATAGACATCCTGGATTCATTTTAATTTATTTTTTATTCACGTAATTATACACTTCATTATATTTATTTTTATATGAACTATATTAAATTTATCATTTTACTCAATGCAAGAACACCCAATGGTTTTTTTTTTTGCTGGGTGAAAATGGTATGGTAACGGGATACGCCGGCGGAGCACCAGTGAAGGGTGATAGATGAGAATGAAAACAGGCCAGTTAGCCTATCATGATGAATTCATCGGGAATTAACCATGATAGTTTCCAGGGGGAACCGCGAGGAAGTCGACCTGGTTGGGTATATTGTTAGCAATGGGATTCTCAGTCTCCATTACTAACAATCCCTTTCCCCCCACACCCAATGGTTATAACCAGTATCTTAATTCCTGAACCTCTTACAATAATAAGATCACCACACACAACCACAGAATACATTACAGTTTTTCTGTTTCATATTAAATTATCGTCACCACATTTAATTGTTTATTCTTTACTATTTGCCTCGGAATCAACCCAAACTGATAATGTGTCATAAATAACAGACTTATGCACTGAATTAAATATTAGCACATACTAGAGTATTTGTTAATATTTAATAAATAAATCATATTCTTACGCAAAACAAGACAATGTGATTACGTTCAGTATTAAAATTGTAGTCACAATGGGCACTGCCGAAGAAGTGCCTCTAAAAGAGAAAACGAAAGAAAAAAAGAGAACGTTTAGAGAAAAAATTCAACATATAAAAGAAAATATTACTTTAGAACCTGTATTAGCGTGTTATGTCGTACCTGGAGTACTGGCCAGGTTAGCAACCCAAAATCTCAACTTGGACAAAGCATGCCGAGTCAATTTGCAATATGGAGACAAAATTTGCGATGCCTTAATAGCAAGAGAGGGAGACTACCAGAAAGAGGAATTGGCTGTTCAAGAAATAATAGCGGCCATGGAGAGCTGGAAGAACGTATTGCTGACTGCTGTGCCGAGCTTCTTGATCCTTTTTCTAGGGGCGTGGAGTGATAGAACAGGCAAGCGTAAGATATGTGTGCTCCTTCCGATTATTGGAGAATTGCTCATGTGTTTGAGTAACATACTCAATGCGTATTACTTCTACGAACTGCGAGTTGAAGTCACTATGTTCTTTGAAGCGTTCTTTCCTGCTATAACAGGTGGATGGATAGCTACTTACATGGGTGCTTTTAGTTATATAAGTGATATATCAAGTGAAGAATCCAGGACATTCAGAGTGGGTATAGCTAATCTTTGTCTGACCGCCGGTACTCCAATAGGATCAGCTCTGAGCGGAATTTTGCTAAAGAAAATTGGTTATTATGGAGTGTTCTCATTAAGTTCCATTTTGTATATATTTAGTATTAGTTATGGGTGGATTTATATTAAGGACCCTGAGAGACCAGTTCCAGAGAAAATCGATCAGGTAAATAATACTATTACTTTTAATATTTTTTATGTATTAAATTTCTATTTAAATAAATAAAATAAATATTTTAGTGAAAAAGTAAAATACATATAACAGTGATAACAAATACCTCTGCTTAGTTTAGGACCTCTAACGCTCGCTAGTTCTAAAATAAACAGAGCTTGTGCCTGTACTATGGAGAGACTTGATAATTTATTAATTGCAATTTATTTTGTAATACTTAAAACATAAAAATACATTTTTAATTGTTAATTCTTTATATAAAGTTAGTAATTTCAAGACGAGCGTCTAGTTAACAGTAAAACAAATGGTAAAATCACCGAGTCCGATATTACATTAAAGAGTAGTCAATTATTTTCTTTTCTGCAATAAATTATTATAATATATATTTCATATTTTAATAAAATTTCTAAACCAATTAAAACTCATGATTGCTAAATGTGTGCATTGTGTGAAGGTGAAGCTGTTTGGTAACACATACACCACCGGAGCGAAGGGAATCGTTAGTAATGATCAGGACTACTTTGCAGCCTCTCCTAAAAAACTATCGTGGTTCATTTCTCGAGAATTCATCATGATGGGCCAACTGACCTGACTCCATTCTCACCTATTATTCCTCACTCGTACCTCGCCATATATACCAACAGCGGAGCCGGTTTTTTATTGGATTATAACGGTATATGCTGGCAGAGAACCGGTGAGAGATGATAGGTGAAGACGAAAAAAGGCCAGTTAGTCCATTGTGATAAATACACCTGGGATTCAGCACAATGGGTTCCAGGAGGTCCCTCCTGGAAGATCCCCACATGAAGATCGACTTGATAGGGTATATTGCTAGCAATGGCCCGCATTACTAACAATCCCTTCCCCCGCAGAGGAATCACAAACTCAAGGGTTAATCCCTTAAAAGCCTGTTTTTTTTAATCTAATTAAAAAATATATAAGTGTACCCTTTACTGTGTTTACTAATGGGGAAAAATAGTAAAAAAAAAATCAAAACGATATTTTTATATATTAATTTTGAAAAAAAAAAATTGGTTACATGTAAACAGTCAAATATTAAAATAAAATCGATTGTAGGCGCCCAATGCGATTTATAACCCCGGTATCAATTTTGAAACTACAGGTATTTAAAGGTTAAAAGAAACGTTACACTACCAAAACAAAGAAGGCGCTAACCAAATTAGAAACGCCTTTTGAAAACAATAAAGGCTACATTCACCACAACTGCTACATTCATCCAACCACTCCATCTGGTATGTTCACCTATAGATCTAAACTAATTGCATAAGCATTCCATGCAATGTAAATTCCATACATATTATTACAGATTTTTTTTTATGCAACTTAGAATGGCAAACAAGCTGACGGCCCACCTGATGGAAACTGGTAACCGACGCCTATAGACATGAGCAGTACCATGGACATAACAGAGTATACTGTTTCGCCCATGATACCCCCCATGCGTTGCCATTCCTGAGGACTCAGGTGTTATTCCTCTGTACCCAGTAAATTTACGCCATATCCCACCCTTCAAACCGAAACACAGCCATGCAAACACAACTGCTTCACGGATGAAACACGAATGGGACAGAGGTGCCCAAGCAATCGACTTTTGTACAAAGTCTCCCTCTGGTACAGTTACATTGATTACTCTGCCATTTAATTATTACACTGTATTTGTATAACAACAATATCAAGTATAATTTGCTAGCACTGATAGTAAAAAGAAAAACAATTATTATATGATAACAAACATACTGCAGATACTAAAAATAAATATTACATTTAAGTTATAATATTTATTATTATTGCCATGCAGTCCCGGCATAGAATGGGCCACGACTTAAGTGTCCCCCATAAGTGTCGTAAGAGACGATTAAGGGCCAATTAAGGGATAATAGTCGAGGGATGGGCAGCAGCGTTCCTCTTAAAACATCACCAAAGCCTTTCAGATAAAAAAAATGAAATTTCTAAATCGGTTTATAACTGACGGAGTTATGAGATAAGAAACAATAAAAAAAATACAATCGAATTAAGAATCTCTTTTTGCAGCCGGTTGAAAATATTATACGACGTGAGACATCGTCTACTGATATATTTTTTTTTATTTCCTGTCAGTGTATAATTATATTTTTTTTTTCAGACAGAAAAAGGCGGAGTATGGAACTTTCTGAAAACATTCTTCAATATGAAACATCCTAAAGACACATTCAACGCTGCATTCAGAAAAGGACCTAATCGACGAAGAACTAAAGCTATTTTGATAATGGTGTCGATTGCCTTCATATATGGACCCGCATACGGTACGTACTACATACATACATACATATTTTATTTATTTATTTATTCTTTATTTCACATACTCAAGACCACTCCGCTGAAGAGTTTCCGTGTTACCTATTTACAAGATAAATGCAAACAAATTGAAATATAATTAATTTAACAAGTGTCAATTATTTAATATTACCGTTTATTAATACATACAATATAGTTTTTGCGTAGATTCCTAAAGCAAATAAACTTATCATTGTTTATGTATAGCACGTAATATATATTAATTCTATTAATATGAAACACCATAAATTCCCAAGTGCCTCATTGGTTTAGAGATTTGGGAATCTTCCAATTAGAGTTTTATAAGTAAAGTCCAGTATTAGATATACATACTTACAACATACTTACCCGAAATATATTATGAATTATCACTAATTCGAAATATCCAGAATTCTTACAATAACTTTGTTAACCTTAGCTTTAATTAACCTTAATAAATACAACCTTAGTGCTTTTAATATAAAGTATAAATAATAATAATTGTTCGGAACTCCAACAAAATATTACAGGCATAGTTTTTGTTATATTCTTAATTATAAATCCCTAGGTCGCTAGTTCATATCCGGCACGAAGGACCAAATTTAAATTGAACTCAATCTTGGTGCATAGATTTAAATATTATTTTATTAGTTAAAAAATCAAGGCATCAAGAGTTAAAAAGCAAACTCACTTTTACATTTATATAAGAATCCTTCCTAATGTTATAAATGTGAAAGTGAGTTTATTTTTTACGTTATAGCGCATAACCAATCACTATGAAATTTGGTATACACATATAAGTTACTTTTATTCTGGTCAGTAAGCATATACCGTTCATGACGGACTATGGTTGGTAAAGGCTACTATAATTATATATTTTTTTTTTATACAACTTAGAATGGTAAACAAGCTAACAGCCCACCTGATGGAAAGTGGTAACAGTCGCCTATAGACATGAGCAGTACTATGAACATAACAGAGTATACTGTTTAGCCCATGCGCTGCCATTCCTGAGGACTCAAGAGTTATTCCTCCGTACCCAGTAAATTCACGCCATATCCCACCCTACAAATCGAAACACAGCCATGCAAACACAACATGGGACAGAGATACCCAAGCAATCGACTTTTGTACAAAGTCTCCCTCTGTAATTTAAAACTTTTAATTTTTCAGGAGAATACACCATCCGCTATCTCTTCACACGATACCGGTTTAACTGGGATGCCTTCAAATACAGCTTGTACAATACATTTTATATCTGCATTCATGCACTTGGTAAGGCGTCAATTTATTTCTCTCTTTTATTTTAATAGTTTTACTGCTTCAAAATGCCGTGCTTGCCTTGTAGTCCTGGCATAAAATAAACCACCCCTCCCTTTCCCCTTAATGTAATTAGAGGCGATTAAAGAAACTTAATAGTTGTGAAATAGAAAATAGCGTTCCTCACAAAACATCACGAAAACCTAACTGCGGATACCAATCCACCTGCCAAGCCCAATCTTCTGGAACCCCCCTCCCCCTCCTCTTTTTTTATTTTTTTTTTATGGGTGAAAATGGTATTGTGACCCCGCCTGTGCTAACAGGATACGCTGGCGGAGCACCAGGGAAGTGATAGATGAGAATAAAAACCCCTCTCCTTTTATTGGAGGCATAGGCCTCTATATATATAGGCAATAGTGGACAGTTAATGGCTGATATGATACACAACATAGTTATAATATATGTTATTTATGTTCATAATGTAGTTAATTTCTAATGGTAACATTTACTGCCTTGCGTAAAATTTACAATCCAAGAACCGACAACCTATGGGGAAGGAAGGTTCCTGAGTAAAGATACTGTACAAGTAAAAGCAATGTATGATGACCCTCTTTGAGAGAGTGGCGACAAATGCATTTCAGAGAGTCAAAGGATGCAGAATGTGGTGGCAGAATGAAGGTGTCTCATGACTGTTCCTTATGGCAGTCTATGGGGAAGGCTTATGCTTAAATGATATGATATAATGATATTGATATTGCTCACAACTTAGGTTACATGTTTATTTTTATTATTTACTTAATTTTCTTCCACTGTATAATTATGTTAAAGTGAATGCTGTGAATACCTATAATAGGCATATGCATTAATATTGTATTATATTTAATGTTTGTTATACCTATATGTTATAATGCAATATGCTGTTGGTGTTCCTTAAATAAATAAATAAATGATGGAGTCCACAGTATAAAAAAGTCACTTTCTTTTTTAATATTCTAGGTGCACTTCTCTCCATCAGTATACTAAGCCGTCGATGGAAATGGCACGATTCAACTCTCGGTCTGGTATCTGTCATCAGCAAGATCATCGGTTCGATTGGAATTGCACTTGCTAAAGATAGCAAGGGCATGTATATTGGTATGTTCATATTTCTATTTGATTCAGAACATAAAGGTCTTATTTTGTTTAATTCGGCTATCATTAATTATAGCGGAATTAAACAAAATAATAATATTTATATATGTATCGCGTGCAAAGATGGTATCTTCAGCAAATTAACTTGTCTGAAGGTATCTCGTTTAGAGATGAAACACGTGTCGCAGAACATACGTGGACAAAATGGTAGTCGGAGTTTGATCGCTAATATGGAAGATTCTAGAACTTTTGATAATAGTAAAATTAATTAATTTACCAGTGTTAGCAGTCACACACATACTAATGGTAGCGGAATTAAACAAAATAATTCTAATCAAATGACCAGCTAGCAAAATAACACCTAGTTCAGTAAAATGTTTGCTTTCTTACGACTTATATTTTCCTAGACTATAAACTAGTTTACACAAACACTGTTACCATGTAATCTCACTATAAGTTTATTTATAATCATAATTTGTGTTTTACCTTACCATTAACTGGAATATCATACTTGTTTCAGCTGTCGCGATCGAGATGTTCAACGCTTCGTCCTTCACAGCTCTGCGTTCCATTTCATCTAAATTAGTGACAAGTGATGAATTAGGTAAATTGGTACTAGACTAACAAATACGTTTTCCATTGAAATAACGAGATCAATTCAGCTTTCGAAATAACGTGGACATCGATTCATTCTATTGAATGCTGTCTATTCATATATGCGAGTAGTATATTAAAAGCTATTAAACATAGGTATACAAATGCAAAGCCCACATGTTACTGCAACTATGTATATACTTGTGAAATTGAATTCCCATAATATCGTAAAAGGTGATTTAGAAAACAAAGCACCATACAACAGTGCAAAAGAAAGAAAATTCAAAATATAACCCAATAACAAGCCTTCTGACAGGCTTGATCTTTCTCAAATGAGAAGAAAACATTCTTTACCTAATGTTGAAATATTAATGAATAAATGGATGGGCTTATACATTTATTTATTATATAAATAGATACAATTTATTTTTAAGAGTCATGTAATAATTTTTATTTCATTTTATTTAAATTTGTTTTAGAAAACTTTGAGTCGATTTTTTGTTGGTACATTTTTGTTGCATAAGCGTTCGTACCAAAGAACTATCTAGTTGATTTACATACATATTCAGAATACTGTAGAATTTGGAAATATATTGCAACATCTATTTATTTAATTACAATATCTATAACAAGAACAAATATCAGTTTTCCAATACATAATATTAAAATGACGACTCGATGAAAATTTCTTTTTTTTTTATTTTACTTTGAAAGGGAAACATACAATACCTGAGACATATAAAATAGTATACACAACTATAACATAAATCAGTAAAGTTTTCACAATAAACCAAACCAAATAATCGAGAGCAGATGATTAAAATAAAAATATATATAATAGTATATACATACATACACACACACACACACACACGCACGCACTCACACGCACACACTCACGTGCACACGCACACACGCACGCACGCACGCACACGAGCACGCACACAAGCACGCACGCACGCACACACGCACGCACATACATACACACACACACATATATACGAGTACATTTTTTAGCATAAATATTCACAGGAACCCAATATATAGATATTAGAAGGGTACCGATATTTTTATTCGATTTTTCAGTAAAAATCGACGTAATAAAGTCTTGGAAAATATTGTTAAATTAATAAAATAACTTCTTGCTTCTTTAAGTCGCTAAATAAAACCCACAATTTCCTTCACCATTCATATTTTGGTTATGACACTAAGTGAAAGGATTTTGTGTGATTTTTCCAATTATAAAAAGGTAACGAAGTCAATAAATTTCTTTTAAACCCACTTTTTGACAAATATAAAAAATAGACTAACAGCGAATGATACATAAACTTACTAGCTTTTACCCAAGACTTCGTCTGCATAACTGGAATAAAAAAAAACAACAAGTAGCCCATTGTCTTTTCCATGTCATATAGTACGTGTATAACAAATTTTACCATGTGGTCCCGGCATATTTATTATGATTGTCCTAATAAGTAACTAAGGGGGGGGATCATTAACGCAGGCGGGGTAACCATTCCATCATCACCCATTAAAAAAAATAAGTAACTAAAGGAACTTAATGGTCGCGCAATAGTCAGCAGCTTCCCTCTTAAAATATCGTCAAAACTGGCAGAGTCTTCTATTATGGAGAAGGTCTATGTCCAGCAGTGGATAGATAATGAATGGCATGATGCTGATGACGATGTTACCAAATTTTACAGTAACTGGTTAAACCATTAAAGCACTATTACGTAATAGATTTGTACTATGAGTATCTGATAAAATTCACTTTGAATTCTTTAAATAATTATATATTGAATTAAATTTTAAGTAACAATAATTACAATTCCTTAGTTTTCTAAGTAGTGCAATTAAAGTTTACATAAATATATAAATCTGTAAGAAATAACCAATCACCAATTAACCTTCCCGGGGGAAAGAGACTGTTAGTAATGGAGACTGAGAATCCCATGGCTAGCAATATACCCAACCAGGTCGACCTCCTCGCGGTTCCCCCTGGAAACTATCATAGTTAATTCCTGATGAATTCATCATGATGGGCTAACTGGCATGTTTTCATTCTCATCTACCCTTAACTGGTGCTCCGCCAGCGTATCCCATTAGCGCAGGCGGGGTTACCATTCCATTTTCACCCATAAAAAAACTAACCTTCCCATGTTTACTAAACTATTTTTAGTTATTTTTTTACATAAAGTAACAATTTCGTTTTTACAGGAAAGATGATATCACTGTTCAACCTGATGGAAGTAGTTACGTCGATGGTGTTCGGGCCCCTATATTCGTGGATGTATATGATGACCCTAAAGATAGATACCAGTTTCGTATTCTATATCAGTATAATACTTACTATACCAACTGTGATTATTTTTGGGTTAGTAAAGGTTTTTTTTTTTTATTAAGTTTTACACAGCACCATTTAATTTTAAATCAATGAAACTTAAAACATAGTTTTCAGGAGTACACGGGTTTTCTTTTTTGATGGGTTAAAAAGGAGGATGATAGGTGAGGATGATAGATAAATCAATTGACCCATTGTGATAATTAATCACATTAGCTTCCAAGAGGAACCGCGTGGAGGTCGATCTAATAGCAATGGGGCAGTTGGACCACATTATTAACAATCCCTTTCTCCCATACACTATAGGTTATCAGATGTAACTAGACTTTATACAGTAATATATGGGTGCCAATATCCTACACATAAGCTGTGATTGCCGTAAAGCAGTTGTGCTTACATGGGTACATTTTGGTTTGAAGTATGGGATATGGTACGGTGGATACAGAGTATATCATAGTTTTCAATAATGGCAACACATAAAAGTACTATGTGCATAATAGTGTATTATGAAATGCCCACGATGCTGTTTATGTCTATAGGCGATGGTTATCACTACCTATCTGGTGGAACGACAACTTGTTTACCTTTTTAAGTATCATGAGCATGTACTATTAATATCACAGAAAGCACGACGTCCATGGTATCCCACATGCGTTGCCATTCCTAAGGAATATGATGTTATGCCTCCGTACACTGTAATTTCATGTAGTAACTATAATTATGTAGATCTGAAAACTGCTCATATTATATTTGTATGGACATTTAGAAATGAAAAATATATTTAAATGAGATCTAATAAAAATTTGTACCCTTGTTTTTTACTAAGAAATAAAGCTAATAAAAATATAATATTATTTTTAAAAAGTTTAATATCATTTTAATAAAAATTCAGTATTTTAAGAAAAGTTCAATATTTTAATAAAACTTTCAATATTTTGATAAAAATTCAATATTTTAACAAAAATTCAATATTTTAATAAACGTTCAATATCTTAATTAAAATTCAATATTATATTACAATTTACAGATGGTTCTTCGTGGACAATAGGAGAAGTATACGTCAAAGCAAAAAAGAAACCAATGAGACAATAGAAAAGCCAGACGCTACACACACATCGACCGACACTGCAACAAAAAATGAAGACTCTCATCTTACAAACATTGATTTAGTTAATGAAAATGTATTAGCAGAGAATCTTCACCCTTGACCCTAATTTTATTTTAATTTATAACTCAAAAGAAGAATGACATATTGCCATCGTAAATTCTCAATTTTGTGATTTCTCTGTATTATTATTTTAATGATACATTACATATACAGAAAAATACATGGCCAATAGAAAATCTGTTCTTGTTGGAAGTCGCTTAAAAATAGACTGCTGTTTTTATAACCATGTAATGGTTATATTTGCAACGAACGGTAATACGACAATTTTACTTTTTATTTTAAATATATAAAATAAAACAAATTTAGAACTTAGATTAATGTAATCTTCGCTTCGCTCAGCGGAGACCAATTTCTTAATGTAATATTTCCTAATTAAATTAAGTTTACGCTCAATTATAAGTTTATAGTATATTTTATTACTAAATAAATAAATATTTACTGTTTTATTTTTATAAAATGCATAATTAAATATTTTTAAAAGAAAGTTCTCGTAACATTACATTGAACATTGTACTCTTATTTTATCTATTTAAATTTATTCAAACAAAAGTAAAGGACTTTATGGGGATGCCTTATACTCAATAGTGGATAATTTATATGATGATGATGATGATGATTCCAGAAAATCCAACTCGAAATCTGTTGTATATTTTATCTTGATATAGGTACCCTTTAGAATAAGTTACCTATTTTTAAATTCTACGCATACAAAGTTGCGGGCAAAAGATAGTTTACAAATTTAAAATAGACATCATTACAACGTATATCGACAAGACTTTCACTGTCAGAAATATAATAAAGCATTATTTTACTGGTTTCTACTTGAGTACTAAATAATTGATAGACATATCACATGCCTAAAGACTAAGGGAAGTCAATAGTCGTGGGATGGGCATCAGCGTCCCTCTTAAGACTTTACGAAAAGCCAAACTCTGGTTGCCAACCCGCCCGTCAAACGTGGCAACTACTGGCAAATCCCCTAATTGTAACTGCCATAAGGAATAGCCCCGTTCCTTATGACAGTCTATGGAGGAGGACTATGTTCAGCAGTGAACAAATAATAGAAGATATGATAACGATATCATATTCCTACATTTTTTTTTATAGAAATTACCCCATTATTAACCACGTCCACAATAACTTACAGCGGAGCTGTTAATATTATAAATATGAAAGTGAGTTTGATTGTTTCATAACTCTTGGAACCAAACAAAAATCAATAATAATACCTAATTTGATATATACGTTCCATATGGAATAGAGAAAAACATAGGCTACTTCTTATCCTGGTCAATGAACATTATCCAATCACGCGGACGTAGTCGTGAGAAAAACTAGTCTTTATAAAATACTAAACAACGCTATCTAGTCTCAAACGAAATAAACCTTTTAGTGTATTCAACTTGAGTACCTAGTACGTAACTAATAGATATTTTTTAGTAAATAAACACGTGATGCGTAGAAGGAATGCCCGGAACAATATTATCAGATATACTCATAAATAGGTACTAATGTCTGTTTAAGTAGACTTGAACTCACAACCATTATAAGGTGAGTCAATTTTCTAAACCGTTAGGCCACAGAAGCCATTAATACGAATATATACTAGTAATTACCCACGAAAGATTAAGCCCTGATTAAGATGTTTCAGAAAACTATGCAAAGAAATTAACTCTTTTGAGTAAAAATAATATTTGTTACAAAGGCTCTCACTGGACACCGTAAACTAATTATGCACATAACCCAACTAGTCCTATACCCAAAAACCGTTGAATGATTTTGCCACGATGACAAAGAAACGCTACAGCACTTAATTTGTGGCTGCAGCCCACTCTTACACAAACGATATATATTCTTTCGTTAATGCACTTGTAAATTACATTGTTAATGCATTTATAAATATGATATATAGGAGATATATACGATATATCTCCTTTATAAAATATACTTTACTTTACTTTAGAACATCTTAAAATTTCCATCACTGACAGGAATTTGTAGTGAACCTTAAAAAAAAAGCAAGCAAAATAGATCACAGAGGTCGCAGCGCTACAGTTTTTTCGCCTGACAAAGCCCATTTCTCAATAACAACAGTATCAATGACCCCATTGTCACCAATCCTTTCTGATAATAATATGATGAAATTGTCTTACCTACTCAATTTAAAAGCAAATACAAATTGATTGCTACTGTAAATAGCATTATCTACGTACACCTCCATTACGGTTACTGTAGTAAAGGAATACAATACAATATGTAAATATGAATTGTTTAACAATTAAACAGTGATAAGAGGATATCTTACATATAGAAGGTGTTGAAAAAACAACGATTTGAATTAGGTTTTATAAGAACAAATCTCAACATTATCAAAGTTCTTCAAGAAAGATAAAATTCAATAGAAAGATATTTTATATTCATTTTAGAGTTTCGCGTTGTATGATTTATGGTCTACAGGTAAACAGTATGTAAACAGGTATTACGCTACCATACATACATACATATCTATTATACTTATTATAGCTAGCCTGTTTCCCATTAGGGTAAGTAGAAACAATGGAACGCCAAACGCCTCGATTTAAACGAGCCCCTTTCGCTTCCTCCATATTCATCATTTATATTATTAATCTATAATAATGACCTAACCTGATTGAAACGGGGGGAAAGGGATTGTTAGTAATAGAGACTAAAAATCCCATTGCTGGCAATATACCTAACCAAGTCGACCTCCACGCGGTTCCCCCTGGAAACTATCATGATTAATTCCTGATGAATTCATCATGATAGGCTAACTGGCCTGTTTTCATTCTCATCGATAACTCTTCACTGGTACTCCGCCAGCGTATCCCGTTAGCGCAGGCGGATTTACCAATCCATTTTCATCCAACAAAAAAACCTTATTGAAACGTTGAAATTATCCAGATAAATTATCATTCAGATAATTCCTGTTTCTTGTAAATCGTAAATAGATATAATGAAAGTAAATTCTTCAATTATATAAACATTACAGAATCAACAAAGACGTATGTCCTATAGATTGCAATAATACTTATGAAAATTGATTCAGAATTGACGATAATATCTCGTAACATTCACACAAAAAATAACATAGTAGCGAGGATTCCTATAAATTATCATTAAAGAAATTAAGATTTAATAACTTGAATTTAAAAAGAGCAGTAAAAATGAGCAAGTTCAGTTAAATTACGCACTCTTAATTAACTAAATCGGTTTTGTATTCAAATACCATTGCGAAATCACAATTATTTTTATTTATAATCTTTTAAAACACCATTCCAACAACCATTACGATTAGTGTTCGATTCTACTAATGCTTTGTTTATGCCATTTGTTATGCAGTAATAATTGAAATTTAAAACATGATAAATACAGCAAACATTGTCCTTGATTAAGTTTTCAATAGATATAAAAAATATTTTTTAAAATTTATTCCAATATATTCGTTTATTCCAATATATTAATGATCATAACAAAAGATGTTTTAAATATTTCTATTTTTTTTAAATACACAAATTTATTGTAATACATCGAAATAATAACAAAATTGGTTAAATACCTAATTGACTTATTTGAGAACAGGATGTAGATATACACTGCATTAACATGTCCAGAGAGAAATATATGGTCGTTTAAAAATATACAGTGGAACAATAAATTTAATAAATTATAATACATATCATATGAAATATTCCTTGTTAAACACAAGTATTATTTTCAATTGAAGTTGTTATTCAGAGTTGCTATGTACAAGTGTAAAACATGGCAGATAAAAAAACAAGAATACCGGAAGAAGTGCAATTAAAAGATGAAGAAAAAGTGAAAGAATCATTAGAAAATAAGACTTTCGTTGAGAAATTATGTTATATAAAGTCAAATATCACCGTAGAACCGATCTTTGCCGGTTTGGTAATACCTTCTATGCTAGCAAGGTTAGCAGTACAAAACTTGAATTTGGATAAAGCTTGTCGTGTGAAACTACAATATGGTGATGCAATATGCGATGCTCTGATCGAAAAGAAAGGCAACCACACAATTGAAGAAGTAGAAGTGCAGAAAGTGATTTCGGCTGTTGAATCGTGGAAGAGTGTAGTACAAACAGCACTTCCATGTTTGTTAGTGATATTTATGGGAGCTTGGAGTGACAGAACTGGTAACAGAAAACTTTGTATCCTGATGCCAATTTTTGGGGAATTATTTGCTAATATAAGCAATTTAATCAGCACAATACTGTTTAGTCAGATCTCTGTAGAAGTGACAATGTTTTTAGAAGCTATTTTTCCAGCTATAACAGGAGGTTGGGTAATGATCTTTTTAGGTATTTTTAGTTATATTACTGACATTACTACAGAAGAGTCCAGAACGTTTAGAGTTGGAGTTGCAAATTTATGTCTGACTGCTGGTATACCTATAGGATCATCATTGAGTGGGATACTTCTAAAGTGGTTAGGTTATTATGGAATTTTCACAATATCTTGTTCAATATATATTACAACTATATTGTATGGTATATTTTATTTGAAAAGTAATACAAAGCCGAGAACTAATTCAAATGAAGAAGTAAGTACTATTATTTTATTAATTTATTAGTATCAAACAACTTCAAAGTCGGTAGGTTCGCCTTCGGCCACGTTAGATTACAATATCTTTAGCCTCAGCATAAAAGTATCAAGTATTATGTTAACCACAACAGCAACTGTGATTATAATATTTATGAGCTCTCAATATATAATCACAATAAATATTATATATTTTTAAAATTAATAAGCAACTGTAATGTTATTTTAAAACTTTATTATTGAAACAATGTGTCACTAGATACCCTTTCATTATCATTAGATATCAGATAAGGCTGTCTGATTCTATCCCAATTATGCGGTAGCGGAAATTTATTTATTAATCCATATAAGAAGTAACATGTGTGAATAATAAAGCTAAATAAGAAATTATATTAACAGGAAGTTTTTTTAATAATATTTCAGTCAAAACCACTAACATTGACAGATTTAATAACTTTAGTCAAGGATACAGCAATGGTCGCATTCAAAAAGCGACATGGTAATACTAGAATTAAAATTATACTGACTCTATTTGTAGTAGCCATTATTTATGGACCAGATCAGGGTAAGTAAAAGACTGAACTTTGAAATTTAATAAACATAAATTATGAAGAAATGAGCAAAAAAACACAGAGAAAGAAATAATGCTTTATTTGCCTACACCATATCACTATCGCCTTACCTTTTTCCATTCATTTGCAATCGGTGCAGTATTCTTCTTCCACAAATCTCTTTTAACTATCATTTTCGGTTCACTCCTGTTTTATGCATATCTTTCACACAGTCCATCCACCTTTTCTTCAGTCATCCCCTTTATATCCATCCACATTCATACTTAACACTTTGTTTAAAACATGACTTTTATGTCTGCGCATATCATGACCATACCAAATCATTTTATTACTTTGCAACTTCTCCGTTACTGAACTGCAACTTTCGACTTCCCCGTACATACTCATGAAAATGAATGAATAAATTAATGAGAATAAATACAAAGAGTTGTTACTACGTTAACTAGGTAAATATTATGAAAATAATGTTAAATGTTGAATGCATGCACCTAGACTGATATATACTATATACTGATATATAAGGTACATATAAAATTAGATTCCGTTTAAATTTAAATTCCGTTAGACCGCATTCAAAGTCGGGCAGCTCGAATTGTTGACGATCGGCGTCTTACTGTCCGGCTCGACCCACTGAAACTGCGTAGAGATGTTGCATCTCTGTGCATCTTCTACCGAATTTATCATGGGGAGTGCTCTAAAGAATCGTTCGGATTGATACCTGCTACAGATTTTCACCATCGTACAACCCGCCGTAAACTAAAATTTCATCCCAATCATCTGGACGAGTGGCGGTCCTCCACCGTGCGTTTTTCAAGGCACTTTCTTCCACGCACAACCATTCTTTGGAATCAACTTCCAGCAGCAGTATTTCCGAACCGATACGACAACATAACCTTCAAGAAAAGAGCATATTCCTTTTTAAAAGGCCGGCAGCACACCTGCAATGCCGTAGGTGTTGTGGGTGACCATGGGCGGCGGTAGTCACTTACCATCAGGTGAGCCGCATGATCGTTCATGCTCAAAAAAAAAAATTAATAATTTCGGAATCCACGTGTATGCACTAGACTAGTAAAAATAGAAATAGAATGAAAGTAGATAAAGCTAAAAATTTGAATAAGGGGCGTGATGTGAAAATAGAATATTTATAAAATAACAATGATATTCGTAAACCAGACTAACGTTTTGTGATGGTTATTAATATTATTTGCCTATTTTGCAGGTGAAAAAATTGTAACTTATATGTTTTTAAGATACCGTTTAAAGTGGGATGCACTTAGATATAGCATATACTCAACATACAGTATTATCATACACTCTCTCAGTAAGTATATAAAACTTAGTTTTCTATTACCACTTTCTAATTTCAGTGAAATTGTTCTTTTTTATTTTTTTCCCAATTCACGTCTTTTAAAACCATTTAATATAATTAAAGCAGCCGTCTAATTAAATGGAGCCTCTTAACTAATTTTATGTAATAATGAAAGGTAAACAGGTACAGTAACATTATCATTGTACCTTGTTGATAATTACACGAACATTATAAATTCATGTTAATTTTTTATTCGATGTCTATATACATCTGTAACGGAAAGCTAATGAACTCATCGTGTATACTGCGAGTGCGAGGCGAGACGCTGTGGCACCAAGTGTCAAATGTCCCCTGAAGAAGACTTCCGGATGAAGTCGATACAATTGTCGGAAACGACAAAAACACAATTAGGTATTTTTTTCGTTTCCGACTATAAATTCAGCCATACTAAATCAATTATACAATTAAAAAAATATTACGATAGAGTAACAAAGTGAGAACAAACACTCATAAACAACATATCAATTTTTAAATGTGTTATGACTCTTACTAATGAACGAGGAAGTCCTAAAAAGAGTAAACGAGAAGAGAACATTGATTGAAATAATAAAGAATAGAAGAGGCAAAATGCTGGGCCACCTTATATGACATGACGATTTTTTTAAGAGCATAATAGAAGGAAAGATAGAGGGCAAAAGTGAAAGAGGAAGACCGAGGATTAACTACATGGGACAGATAAAGAAAACACTAAGCGTCATGTCCTATAGGGAGATAAAGGATATGGCCTGGGGTAGAGCTGACTGGAGGAAGATGCATGAATTAGTTGCACCGACAAGAGGAAACTCTTAAATGAAAAGAGAAGTTACGGCTCTTAGAAACAACTAATATTCTTCTATCTCAGATTGTGTTACCTTCAAGCTCAAACACAATTTACTACACATTGCTAAGTTTCTTCAAATACAGATAGAACTACAACTATTACTAGTTTCTACTAAGACAACTTAGATATTTAATTACAGGAACAATAAAAGCAAATTTTAATTATTTCAGGTGCATTATTTTCAATCAGCTTGTTCAGCAAACGTTTAGGATTCCACGATTCAATGTTATGCCTCATATCCATTACTAGCAGGAGTATTGGCTCCACATACATGGCTTTTGTTTACACTGACTTTCAAATGTTCATGGGTAAGTATTAAGAAAATTTCAAAAGAACAATAATCTACTGTCACTTATTTGGTTATTTATTTACTTTTTTCATTTCCCCTATGACTTTATCCGCGTGTTTGGGTTCTTTGACTGAGGATAAAAGGTAGTCTACGTCGTATACTTACCAAATTTCGTAATGATTAATTAATGCATTAAAATTCTTACTAAAGGCATCAAACAAACTGACTTTCTCATAATAATATTAGTAAAGTTAGTAAAGACTAGCAATCATTAACATGGCCAGTTTTATTAGGAGCTGATATCACCCCGTGCGCATCCCTACGGCCCAGAGTCCCCACTCGTCACGACCTTCCGTCCCTCATCGGGGGTCAAAGTGCGATGGCCTAAGCCAAAGTCCGAGACACTCTGACGCCCTTGGGTGCACGCAGCAATCCATAAGAAAGAACTGACGCATTTTCGCTCTCCTCTCGCGGGCTTGGAGTGCCGTCTGTACTCGCCCCTGCACACGCGTCCGGTGAAGCTGTAAAGGCCATCTGCGGCCAACAGCACTAACGGTTAGAAAAAAAATGATCAGAAACAAATATTCGTAAATTTTGCTCCACAAGAAAAAGCATCTGCAATTGAGATAAAATTAATATTGATATCACATCAAACATCACCAATGATAGTGATATTAATTATGTAATGGTAAATTAATAAGCAACTAGCCTATTAATTTACCATCAGATAATTACAACTAGTTGCCCTATTGCTGGTATTCGATTAAGTCCAGCTTTAAACTATAATTTTAAAATCTTAAACTACTAGCAAACTTTCCCGGCCTGGTACGGGTACATAGTATAGAAATTCTTATATTTTTTAAAATATAATATACGTTAGTCGCTGATAATGTAGTTGTCTAAAGGTGAAAGAACTTTTCTGAGTTTATTCCTTACAACGTAAACAATAAAATCCAATTTTGTCCTCTTTATAATATTAGTTTATACTTTAAATTTTTTATCATTAACTAACTAATATCAATTGTTTACTGACATTATTGCACCTAAATTTTATATGCCATTGTTTTGGCAGAACACTCATATAACATATTATTAATAAAGGTCATTATTATTATTATTAAATAATACTCCTATATTCAAATATCGAATTCAAATTCAAATATAGAAAAGATATTGTAGATAGTATTTCTAGGATCTCCTTGAAGATTTCGCACTTTTTATTTTTCTACTTAGAAATAAATTCACTAAGTCCACTTTTTCTACAATAACTCCTCTAAAGCATTAGTGACAAATATCCTTTAGGGCTACTCCTAAGTTTATCAAGGTTTATCGTTTATCATGAAGTTTACCATTCTTGGAAAACCTAAGATTACTAGTTCTTAGTTTTTTTAAGGACAAAACTAGATCCTGATAATTTCTTTATTATAAAACTTTTGCAGTTTATGTTCGGTTGGCATTAAACTTTTACTAGATCTATCTATAATTTCCACATGTAACTCCCATAAAAATTTATAAGCTTGGGGGGTTGGGCCAGTAGATGCCACGTTTGGCAGGCAGATCGGCAAAAAGTTAGGCTTTAGAGATGTTTTAAGAGATACGCTGCTGCTCATCCCTCGCTCTCCCTGAGTCGCCTCTTACGACATCCACAAGAAAGGAATAGGTGGCCTACTCTATGCCGGGACCACACGGCCAGTAGTGTAAAGTAATGTTTTATTGTCATAAAATGAATACAACATAGCGGATACCTTCAATATCAACTTGTGAAACCTCACAATTGTGTGTGTATGAAATTTTAGATTTACCTATATCTCACTTTCTATATTACCTCGTCGTCATTCTATATCATTGTGTCTCTCCAGACTGTACGAAATACAAGGACTATTTTAGTACAATAGATAATAATAAACATAAGAACAGAATAACCGAATATACAGGTTTTCTGTATCTATATACATTTTGAAAATAGTCAACCACTTCTAGAGGGGGGAAGGGATTGTTAGTAATGGGGAGGTTAGTCTCCATTGCTATCAAAATACGAGTACACTATCAGGTCGACCTCCACGCGGTTCCCCCTGGAAACTATCGTGACTAATTTATCGTTGAATTCGTCATGATAGGCTAACTGACATGCTTTTTCATCGTCACCTATCACCTTTCACTGGTACCCCGCCGGTGTATACCGATAGCATAGGCGGAGTTACCATGCCATTTACACTCATTAAAAAATCTACTTCTAGATTTCATCTAAGTACCTATCAAAATAAAAAAATACGGCAGATTTTGTGCTAAACACACAACAGTGAAAACCGCATTCAATTGTTTTAGTGTAATGCCAAATCAAACATACAGATAGACAAAAACTAAAATAAAATATTGACTACTATTGTTTTTACTAAGATCGCTCATATATATATATATATATATATATATATATATATATATATATATATATATATATATATATATATATATATATATATATATATATATATATATATATATATATATATATATATATATATATATATATATATATATATATATTAACTAACATGTAATATATATAAAATAACATTGATTTGGCTTTTGCTGTTATAATGTTGTAATTATTTTTAATGAATAAATAAATAAAATCTTCCAAATACATATTCTTAGAAATCTGAGCTTCTTACATGGAAAATTTTATGAATATACTTAAATATTTGTTACTAGGTTGTACTTATTTTTGCAAACAAAGAGTTTACCGATATTTCTGTGACAATAGATACTACTGTTTTTATTTGCGAAGCAGAAAACTAGTTATAGCGAAGTAAAATGTAAACATGAGATTTCGTTCGCGTTCTAAATTCAAATGTTTACAATGTAAGTTATCTATGTACAATCTCGTTGTTGATTAGGATATGTATGTATGTGTTCAGCTTAGATTGTAATGTTAGATTATTTTGAAGTCATTTCAGAAGAATAGAAGAAAGAAATATCTTTGTTCCTGTAAACTTAGATTAGACCGCCCCTTCCTTTCCCGTGGGTATCGTAAGAGACGACTAACGGATTTAATGATCGAGAGAAGCAGTGACCCTCTTAAACACCACCAAAAACTAACTGCGATTGCTAATCCACCTGCCAAGCATGGCAACTACTAGTTAAATGGACATTTAACAGCTAATATGATGATATTATGATGTCTTATGCAAGTATTGCATTCTAGCAGATGAAACTAATCGCAAATTAAACAAATAAGTACAAATGTGTATACTTTTTGGCAAAATTTTACATGTTATCTTTAATCAGTAATTTGTTTGTTTTAGTGCCAATAGTGGGGATCCTGAACGCAACTACGTTTACATCACTGAGGTCGATGATTTCTAAACTGGTGCCCAGCGAGGAAGCAGGTAACAATCGTAAATATGACCCTCCATGTTTTTCAAAGATTTTATTAAAATGATGGTAATAAAATAGTTAACGCAGTATCGCAGTTCTTTCCGCAACTGCAGTATCCCCCCATTTCCATTCCCACATAAGTCCTCCTTCCTCAATCCTTTCCTCCATACCGTAGGTGGCCAAAGCCACTAACAAATGTATTTCCAAACAAGTTTGACGTCAGGCAGGCGGCCGATCGTACAACTATAAGCCAAATCTTTTTGTAATATGGATAAAAAACATGTTACGCCAACCCCAAATAAATTGGGATAAGGGCAGAAAGATGATGAATTAATAAAATGGTAACCTCACCTGTGCAATCGATCCATTTATCGATCTACCCAGAGTAACAATGAAGGATGATAGATGAGAATAGATGCAGGCCAATTAGCTCATCATAACTAATTCATTACGAATTAACCACTTTTGTCTCCGTAAGGGACTACATGGAAGTCGATATGTCAAGATATATTACTAGCAATATGGACACTAGCCCTTGTAACTGTCACTGCTATCCCTAGCCACTAGCAATCGCGTAACCTTCTGTGATTGTACGTATATCTGCCTAATCATTTTCACGTTCAAATTAATTTATTTTATTAATCACACTATTGATTATAAATCTAGGGACTGTAGTTTAAGATTCAGTTTCGACAATACACGAATGATGTTTGTCATGATGATAATGCTCGAATACAAATTGTATTCAATCTTTATTGTTAAAAAAATATTCTATCTGAAGTAAATCAGTAACATAATCTATAGGAATAAAAATCAACTCCTGAATGTATGTAAGTACATCACTTCAGAACGGTGCAGACGTTATTTAGCTAATAAAGACTTCCCTCTTATATGATGTAGAAATACATATTTTATCATCATCAAATTATAATTATTTTCTATTATTTATATGGCATTCAATACAATTCTGAGTAGAAATTTGTCACTGGAAATGAACAATAATCCTTCAGTATTTACCGCAATGAGTGTGTTACCTCGTTGAAACGGCAATCAATGACAGATCTCACAAGGGAATCCTTACACTCGAGCAATCGACAACTCGAACAATTGGTTGCTTATTGTTACTATACAGAGACACAATTCAATTCTTGTCTGGAAGTACTTCTCTGTAAACATCACTGTACCAATTGTCTCTATAGATCAATAAGTATTATTATTTCCATTCAAATGTTTGTGAATATTTATATAATTTACATTATTTTCTTTTTCTTAATGTCTACAAACAATATTTATTATTTCTTACTATTATCAAGATTAATAAGTACTTATTAAATCCTATTATTATACGCACCTTCTTCTGCTTATTCCTGTCCACTATTAATTTGGTGTAAATCTTCTTTCATATTTTTATGTATATTATTATGTAAAGATTAAACAGTTTCTTTATTTAAATCATCATGAATGTTTACATCATTCACATCTTTTTCTTTTTAATCCTTCCCACCAGTTATTATATTCTATTATAAAGTTAAAGTATTAACTCAACCTGTCCATTTATTAAATAAAAGGTCACCTGCCTATGGTTATAGGTCATTGCTCTTCAAATAAGACTCTTCCTTTATCATTCTTATATGAATTGATTTTTCCGTGAGTCTCCAAATCGACAAATCGTCATTGCATCTTACACAAAATAAAAACCAAGATGTAGCACACACATGTTTTTTTTAAATCATCAGCGGAAAATAAGCTCTAATAAATATTTCCTTCAGGAACACTATTTTATCATTCTGGTAAATAATGAAGTGTCTTTGATAATTTTAAACTAAATCTGATATTTATATAAATAAATTACCTCTGTATCTGTGTCTAACGCTATATGATAATTGATAACTAGATTATTTTCAGGAAAAATGAACTCCCTGTTCAGTTTGGTGGAAACGTTAGCAGCTTTAATGTTCAACCCTATTTACTCCATCTTATACTTGAAGACCATCAGCATTTTTAGTGGAAGCGTTTTCATATTTAGTGGAATTCTTACATTGCCTGCTATTATTGTTTTGATGTAAGTCGTTTTTTTTTACTAAATTCAAAAGATCAAAGAGTTTAAGTAAAAATATTTTTGATAATCAACGTTTATGAATTTAATTAGTTTATAATAGAACGTTATGTAATTTGATATGGCAAATAAGTAAATATCCAATATTATAGAAAATAAACCATAGACGTCCTCATGAGTTACCATTCCTGAAGATTGAGGTAATATAAAATGTTATTCGTGGACTTAATTTTTTATAGTAAAGTATTTCATATTTACTCGCTTAACCATCACGCTTTATAAAGTGTTAATGGTTATAACTAACAGAGACTGCTTTTTTCTATGCTCTTTTTTTTTGCTTTGACTACTCTATTTCCATACTATTATAATATTTTTTTTACCAGAGTGAGACTTTGCACAAAAGTCATCTTCTTCACCTCTGTCCTATACGTATTTTTGCCATGAAACAGTTATATTTGCACGACTGTTTTGGTTTGAAGGATAAGATATGGCAATAAAATTATAAAGTACAGAGGCATAACATCTCAGTCCTCAGGAATGGTAATGCATGATGAGTATCATGGGCAACACAGTACTGTTCATGTCTTTTATGTACATACTACTGTTCATGTCTATAGGCAACGGTTACTACTTTCCATCAAGTGAGCCGTCAGCTTGTTTGCCATTCTTTATTGCATAAAAAATACAACTAATAAAGAATAAAAAGTTTACAGAAGATCTAATGGATAGTGGTAACTGTCAGCTATAAAAATATATATTAAAAATAAATAATCTTAACACGATATCGTGTTTAATGAAGCAATAAAAACTAAGCAGCTTATTCTAATTCGCAGTTGGCTTTTCAATCGTCACAGACGAGAAACTAAACAAAAACAACTAGAAGATGTCGAAATGAGAAAAACTGAAGAGATTGTAGATAAGGAATCGACGTAGATATAGCTATATTATTTAATAAATATGAGAAAAATAAATCAAAAGAATTGTCAACAGTCAAATCTGTCTATCTTGACAATGTTTCAGAACTGTAGACTCAATTAAAACAGAAGTTAAATTAAACTTTTAACTATTAAAAAAAGTATTAGATATAACACTTAATGAACTGTTCGGTGATTTTTCGAAAAAGGATTTTTGATTGGAAAGAGCATCAATTGTAGCATCTATAGCAGTCAAGGAAAAAACTGCCATTAAAAAAAAACAGGTATATTATTCTCACAACTTACTATTATTATATTAAACCGGCGAAGGTAATGATTCGCGGAGTGCGTTTGTAAATTCTTCTGGCAATGATGATGATTATAATGAAATCTGACTGATTACAGTCACGGCGACCACTTCGACTACTTTATTATAAATCACACAGAGGCTATTAGATTAGATATTATTGACGTTGGTGTGCTCGAACGTGCTTCACGTAGTCAACCTTTTCTAACTGAGTTTTAGTCGCAACTTCGTCTGCATGATCGAGATATGTTTAATGCCTTGGATAAAAGCAACCTATGTCCTTTTTCATAGTACTTGTATATATTTTATAATGATTGATTAAGTTATTAAAGTGCCAAAAGATAACAAACAAATTCACTTTTACATTTCTAATTTTAGTAATAATAAAAAATATAAGCTGTGCAGTCGAGTCAGTGCACACGAGTTTACTGTTGGAGTATAAAGTTTATTTCAATAAAGTTCCCTAAAATATTAATATATTGTTAATAGGTGGTAATATTTTTTTATTGGTTGTCTTATTTTTGGAAGGTTTGACGTATCGTAATTAATTTGTGTCACTTTAATTACTACAAAAAAGACAGAAATATTTTACAGATTTGAAGTATACTTACCAGAGGGAGACTTTGTATTAAAGTCGTTCACTTGGGTACCTCTGTCCCATTCGTGTTTCTACCGTGAAGCAGTTGTGTTTGCATGGCTGTGTTTCGGTTTGAATGGTGGGATATGGCAGTGAATTTACAGAGTACAGAGAAATGACACCTGAGTCCTCAGGAATGGCAACGCATAGGGGGTATTATATACTGACAGAGTTTCGCAGGACGGTAACAAATTGCGCAGAATTGCATTTTTAATGTTTATTTTTATAATACAATTAATTTTTTTTTTCCATTAACGTATTGTTTGTAATATTATAATGTTCTATTTTTGATTTTTGGTGAGTGCATTAGTTAATCTGTAACACTTACCAAAAATATGTATATATATATATATATATTATAAATAAATAAATATTTATCAATTGCACATTCTAATGACAAAATTGACTGATTTTGTAAATTTGTTATATAATTTGAAAACCATATATTTACTTATTGATGTTTTACTAGAATATAATAATAATAATAATGTTTATTTCTTTATAACACAATTTTTTAAATACAATGGAATATAATATTGATCCTGTTATGTTTATCTTTTCTTTTTAATACCTACTGTCGTTATAATTTTAATACATTGGATTGAATAGAATAGAAATTTATTATTTGACAAAAAACACAAAGTTACAAACAGAAAATACAATGGGCCCCACACTAGGCGAACCTGTATCGTGGGCACCCGACAAAGATTAACAAATCACAGTGTGTTATAATAAAAAGTACATAGTGGGCGGGTATTAATATAAAAAGGTATATAAAATTGAAATAGTGAAAAAAGTAATAAAATCAACAATATAAATACACAATTAATTATAAAACACTAATAATATATGTCCTTAAGAGAAGCAAAGTTGAATAAATGAATGTGGGAATGTTCGTGAGTATGTGTGAGTGTGTGTTGTGCAATCCATGTGAAAGATGTGTACTGTATGTTATTACTTTCCAGACCATAGTTCCTCAGTTGCCTCGTAACACAGTGATAAAAGATAATTATTTAATTTGTGTTTCATAATATGTGAACCATGACCTATCAGTGGACACACTTTGTTAATTTTATAGTACATTGACGGAAATGCAAATGCAACAAAACGGCGGGCAAAGGAAGATCTGATGGTAGGAATGTTTAGCTTGAGCCTAGTGAAATGTAACAAGGAAGAGTGATCAAGAGCTTTGTGATATAAACTGTCGAACTGTGAGTACTTTGGCCTCAGAATATAAATTTAATAATCTTAGAGACTGAATGGTCATAAATAACGCGATTTCAGAAATGATTCCTATCAAACGCTCTGGTTATGAAATTAGCTCCCTGTCGAGGTTTTTCTATGAAACTACAGCATGAGGTTTAAAAAAGAGGTAAAGAAGTTTCTTCAGGGTTGGCAACACGCGCGTAAAGCCATTGATATTACAGGGGCGCAGTCAGAATCTTGCCTATAGACGCCAGGAAGACTTAAAGCCAGCCCTGGATATAAGTAACAGTAGGTAAAATCTTAATCAAACAATTTAAAATCACAAGATAGCATAGCTTTATTAACTCATCCATACTACAGTTCAATGCCAAAATATATACAAATCCAATAATATCTATGGGGGAGAAGGGACTGTTAGTAATGGGATCGAACAGCCCCATTACTAATAATATACCCTATCAGGTCGACCTTCACGTGGTTCCCTTTGGAAACCATCATTCGTTCCTTTTGGAAACGAATTTCATAAGAATTGATTATGAAATTCGTCACGATAGGCTAACTGACCTGGTTTCATCCTCACCTGTCATCTCTGGCTGGTGCCCCGCCAGTACCGATATCGCAGACGGGGTAACCATTCCAATTATCATCCATAAAAAAAATCTATGGTATAAATATAGACAACCGGCAACTGGTTGTTATAAAACGTTATAACAACCAGTTTTAATTCTAGTACCATTATTATTGCAGTCATGGTTAACTAGAGCCAGTAGACTCATTTTAACATTGACAAGTATTTAAAAACTAATAAATATAAAATGTGGTCCCGGCATAGAATAGGCCACCCCCTCCTATCCCGTAGGTGTCGTAAGAGTCGACTAAGGGAGGGCGAGGGATGGACAGCAGCGTCCCTCTTAAAACATCTGTAAATCTAACTACGGTTGTTAATCCGTCTGCGAAGAGTGGCAGCTACTAGTAAAACGACCCCGAGAGGGAGGTTTATGTTCAGCAGTGGACAGATAAAGGCTGATATGATGATGATGATGATGATGAATATTATTATATTATAAAATAATAATATATTAATAATAATATTTATATATTAAATAATCCTTATTAATATTATAAATATGAATGTGAGTTTATCGCCTCTCGACTTTTTAACAGCTGAACCAATTATCATGAAACTTAGTGTAAATGTACATAGTATTTGGCAAGAACCTTTTTATCCCGGTCGATAATATATCCCATTCAGGCAGACGAAGTCACGGGGAAAAACTAATCATGTTATTGAAAATCTTAGTTTAATATTAAGTGGGTTTGTTTTTACCTTAAAAAAATTATAATGTAGCATTTTAGAATTTTTTCCTACGTTCACATTTTCCTTGTATATTAAATTGAGAAAACAAATATAATTAGTTATTTCAAAAAAAAAAACAATAAATTCTAATTGAAAACGTTTTCCTTTTTTGAAGTCTGTTGACAAAATGAAGGTTATTTTAAATACAATATCAGGACTTAACACGATGTAAAAAATTTTTTGCCTACAATTTTAATAGTACCTACATACCTACTTCTTTATAGATGACGAAATGTGTGTAAAAAACGTGAAAGTTTAAAATTTAACTAAAATAAACATTTTTCGATGTCTATAGACATAAATTAGATTAGTATAAATATATATTTTTTTTATATTAAAGATATTGAAACAAATTACAAGTATTTTAAATAATATAATAAGACCATATAATAAACGTAGACACTCTTTATTTTTTTCTTCAAAATATTACATTAATTAACATATTATAAATACAATTATATCATAATAAAGTTCCATCAAGAAGTTATAACACAAACAGTGAATTATAAAATGGACTTGTTCATATAATATATTGGCTGAACAAATTTGCAAACATCGTGGTAGTAGGATAATATTATATCATACAATTTTATCATCTTCAATAGGAGAGAAAAATATATGTAATTTCATGAAGACATACATATATAAATATATACATAGATAAGTAGTTTCGTTTTTCAATTAAAATAACTGGATTTTTATATTAAAATAATTGATTTTGCTAAGATTGACATCAGTTTTTTGTCATACAATTTTAATAATTTTTTTGCCACTATATAAATATAGTTTAATATCTCGAATAATTGATATCATGAACGCATATTAAAATTTAAAAGTATCGTATTATCATATCATTACAATGTAATTTAAGATTGCACTCTACAAAAAAAAAATACTACTTCAATTATGACAAAACAAAATTATTTTGAATTAAAAACTGAACTCGTGAATCGATTTTGTTAAAATTTCTATAAAACCATAAAGGTAAGTATACCTTTTGAGATAAAAATAGAATTTTCAAAACAGTTTAAAAGAAACCAATTTGCAAAATTCTAATTTGAAGTCGATTGAAAATTGAACAATATCATAACCAGTTAAACTTATACATACTTTGAAAATTAAATACATTTTTACATTTTTTTTTTTTACATAATTTGCGTTAAATTTTAAAACCGCTCTATACCTAGTCCTAGTTAGAATTATAGTAGTTAACATAGTCTATGTTCGTTCACCATTCTGTCTCTTAACTCCCTAACAACGTTCAAGTAGGTAATTGGTGTACATAAACGCGAATAAAGGCGTTTACCATCAACCAGTAGCATTATACGATACACGAGATCAGTGGTCAGTTCTAACCATATAACAGGCCGGTACGTTACATAAAAATTTGCATTATGGTTTAAATTAAAAAAAAGAAACGAAATATATCTACATCCAATAGTAATTGTGGAAAATATCATGGTGATTTTATGTGCTCGTGATCATTGTTTGTTGATTAAACTACGTTTAAATATTAGAAATGATATCAAAAGTAAACATTAGGTATTATAGATTACATTCAAACTACTAAAGATAAGTCTGCAAGATAAGTATCGCACGTCTGTACTGACTATCGAATCAATAGGAATTATTAAATTCGTGTCAATGTAATTTAAATAAAAAAAAAATTAATCGACCACAATCCTCTTTTCTATCTTAAATAGGACAGTATTTATTTTTTTATTTATTTTATTTATTCTTTATTGATCAAATTACAAAAAAATTCTAGTACAAAAAGCGAATTTAATGCTATATAGCATTCTCTCCCAGTCAACCTTTGGTGAAACAGATATGTAATTACGCGGTGAAATAATTTAATTGTTGCGAACTCCTTAGTTATTTTTAAAGATTTTATTTCTATTGTATTTTTATACTTTTGTTTTTACAATTGTCAACTTTTGCTCTTTGCTGTCGTAGTCTATCTTTCGTAGTTTTCTTTATTATAGTTATTTTCTTTTAAACCCATTGTTTGATTACATCATATACATCAATATACAGTCCATAATATCGCCCACAATTATATTATATAATGAATAGGTTTTACTTCTGTTGTAACTTTGCATTAACTTGTTTAAATTTAATTTGATTTTTTTCATATTATTCTCATGTTTTTCACACATGATATATATAATATTATGATGGATTTAAATCTGAAAACTAATAGTACAGTAAAGTAGTTATTTTTTAAATGAATTATAATGGAATGGTAACCTTGCTACGCAAGTATACGCTGGTAGAAAACTAGTAGATTGTGACGAGGATGAAAACAGGTCAAATGGGTTATCGTGACAAATTCAACAAGAATTAACTCTGATGGTTTTCAGCCATCTCCACTTAGAGGTTTTATTGCTAGCAAGTAGCTCATAAATCGCCGTGTAGTTCAGGCATAGAATACGCTACGCCTTCCTTTCCTTAGCTGAGCTTAATAGTCGAGAGAGAGAAACATTTCCAAGGTCTAACTGCAGTTGCTAACTCGCTTGCGAAACGTGGCAACTACTGCCAAACCCCGCCAATAGAGGGAGCTCTATATTTAGCAGTGGATAATTAAAGGCTGGCACGTGGTTCCCCCTAGAAACCATCGTGGTTGATTCTAATTGAATTTGTCAGGATTGCTAACTGACCTGCTTTCATCCTCATCTGTCATTTCTCATTGGCGCCTCGCCAGTGTATACCGATAGCACAGACGGGGTTACCATGCCATTATCACCCATTAAAAAATCTCTTCTCCCAAGTATTATGATCTTCATCTACATTTTAATAAAAAAAACATACATACATAATCTCTCTCTAACCATGCAGTTTAAAATCTACCAAACAAATGTATAAAGATTTATCTGCGCGATTAAATGATTTATCAAATCGTGTATGTGGCCACACACAGGGCTACCAATTGCGATTTTTGTCCTTACCCAAGAAAAAAATTATACAAATTCGTTCACTTTTATCTAATCACACACTTGTATCGTTCTCACTACATTTTTCCATATAACTATTACGATGACAGGGGGGGGAGGGAGAGGAATTGTTAGTAACGCGGACTACCAATCCCATTGCTAGCAAAATACCCTGTCAAGTCGACCTCCACGCAGCCCCCACTGGAAACCATCGTACTGAATTCCAGGTGTATTCATCACGATTAGCTAACCTACATTTTCATCATCACCTATCATCTCTTACTGGTGCTCCTCCAGCGTATATCGTTAGCGCAGGCAGGGTTACTATTTCCACTAAAAAAACTACGCTTACATCTAAAAGAAGCTCTTCTCTACGTATGACTTCTTTACCTCATGTTGCTATCTCCATTGATAAATGTATTAAATTTACATAGAAAATTACCCAATTTATTCGATACTTACTCGTATTTTATTTTTATTTTTTCAAATGATTTTGTCGTTTTCATTTCTCCAATATTTCGCAAACACGAATTTTATTACCCAAAATTGTAAAAAAAATATTTGTACCCAATCTAGCAACGCTTTGTGACCAGCTTTGATACGAGTTTTTACGCGATTACCCAAAACAGGAGTTTAATGTTTCTAGTATTAATGTATGTATTTCTTTATCCCATCACCATTTCTAAATATCTAAACATATTTGTATGTATGTAGTATCGTTAAAATCCCTGTATCATCCTGAATGACATTGACTATATATTTTTTTAAATAATTCATTTTAGTAGTCATCATTATCACATAGTCATAATATCAGCCATTAATTGTACAATACTGAATCTAGCCTCCACCTTGGGGGATTTTACCAGTAGTTGCCACGCTTGGCAGGCGGATTGGCAACTATTGTTAGACTTTCGTGATGTTTTAGTTTTAAGAGGGACAGCAGCATCCTTCTTAAAACATTACTCAACTCCCATCCCCTGACCATTAAGTTCCCTTACTCGCCTCTTACAACACCCATGGGAAAAGAAATAGCATGCCATTTTATGCTGGAACCATACAGTAAAGTTTCTAATAGTGCATTAATGTTTATTAATCGACTTCAAAAACAATGAGGGTCTCAGTTTGGTTATATATATTTTTTTATATTTGTTACCTCATATCTCAATCAATTGTAAACTTTAAAAAATCTTTATTCATCAGAGGACATACCTACAGACTGGTCTCGTAGAAATTTTATCAAAATCGGTACTTCAGTAGTTTAGTTTTTTGAAACAACATAATTTACTTTGTTACTATGAAAGTCGGCTGTTTTGTGGGACACAAACTTTAATTATTTAAGTTGTGAATCAAAATGTGCTTATCTTTGTTGTCTGCTCCAGTTGGATGTAATCATAAATATGTTTGTATACCCTACTTTACTGTACTGTACTGCTTTTATACTGCTGGACGTATAATAACTAATAAAATGAAGACATCCCTTTAAAAGATAATAAGTCCGAGAGTTTAAAAGTATTAAAAGGAATGCGCAAAACCATATAAGTAAATATATATATTGTTAGATATATTAAAGATTAAAAAAAAAGAAAACTCTTGCAAAATAATATCAAAATCATGACATTTAATACCGCTAATCAACTATAAGTGCATAACAAATTTTCCAGTTCACAGCGGCGTGACTCTGTCACGAACCATAATTATATGAAAATGTATGTGACAAATAAATGGTCCTCTACTAGTGGTTTAACTGACCATAACAGCTAAATAAAAAATACTAACTACTCCTGTATATAGTAGAATAAATTCACTGCTTTATTTTTTTAATAACATTTTTTTTCTCCCTTCGGGTTCTCAACGTTGACTGGAAGATATACCTTTAAGGGATAAGTCCGCCTGTGTACATTTTCGTTATAACCTAATGTCTATATTAAAAAAAGCAAATAAATAAATAAAAAAGTTTTTACTGTACCCAATACTTTAGAGAGCCTTTACTAATACTATAAATTTATTTCTTTGTTGCCTCTTGGAGTTTTAACGGTTCAATCAATCGTTATGAAATTGAACATGTACTCTTGGAGGTAAAAGGACATAGTTTTATATGTTTATCCCAAAGGTTAACTGGTAGAGAATGCTACTAACATTAAATCTGCCTTTTGTACCTTATATTATTTTGATCAATAAAGTTATTTGAATAAATAAATAAATAAGTAATTTTTTTTTCACGGACAATAAACATAATCTCAGTCAGACGGACAAAGTTACGAGTAAAAGTTAGTAATCAATATTTTTTTTCATTGTTTCATGTTTCATAAATAATTTATTAAAGATACATTAAACAGATCATTCAATAAAATAATAAATATTCATTAAGTTACAACATTTCATTATTAATTACATCTTAATTATATTTATTAAATTACTTTTTAAATAAATTTGTATATATACACTTGTTATCTTAACAAACAACCATCATATACAATTATTTAAAAAAAAAACTTTCTGCAGACATCATTTTATAAATAATCGATATTTTTATTATTATCAAAACGCCTGACTATTAGATAACAAGTCAACGAATGGACGCCTTCGAAACACGACAATCATCATACACTTAATAAATTTGCATTTATATCACATCGATATTTTTTGGCCCGATAGGAGAATTGTCTGAGATTGCATACCAGATTGAGTGTTTCGTCCGTGACCACAGAAATATAAAACTTCTTTTTCTAAAATAAATGTATGGGCTGCGTAATATTCCAACTATACATAATCCAACACAAACGTTTATCAATATAATTATATATTATCATTATCTACGCTTAATTGATATCAAACAAACGTATCGGACAAGCAAATATCAAAGGCAATTGTTGCTCCTCGTGCATCAGTAGTCATTATGTAAATTTAACCATTTTAACAATAGACGTTTATTGTGCAGTGTAGAAAACAAAATGATATTATAGAATTGAATTACAAGTGATAAATAAGCAGAAACAATGGCAGAAAAGAAGAACAGCGAAATAAAATCATCAGATGAGAATCCGTTAAACAAGGATGTGGTACCACTGAAGACACCAAAAACGTTTGCAGAAAAATTTACATATGCAAAAAGTAATATAACGGTAGAGCCGTTGCTGGCTGGTTTAATCATACCCAGTATAATATCGAAGTTTGCTATGGCAAATCTGAATTTAGACAAAGCATGCAGGGTAAATCTTGCTTTTGGAGACGAAATCTGTGATGTGTTAATGAAAAAAACAAGCAATAACCACTCGTCGTATGAGCTCGAAGTGCAAAAACTGATAGCGTCCATAGACATTTGGAAGGGAATTATTCATACCGCATTGCCGTGTATTATCATCATGTTTCTGGGAGGTTGGAGTGATAAAACCGGAAAGAGAAAAATTTGTATACTGCTACCAATATTTGGAGAAGTTCTCACATCTATTAACAATTTAATCAACGTGTACTTCTTTTACGAAATACCTGTACAAATTACTGTGTTTCTAGAGACGTTTTTCCCGGCCATCACCGGTGGTTGGGTTACTATGTTCCTTGGTGTCTTCAGTTATATTAGTGACATAACTTCCGAAGAGGCCCGAACCTTCAGAGTTGGATTGGTCAACCTCTGCATGACTGCTGGTTTGCCTATCGGTATTGCTCTGAGTGGAGTTCTCTTGCAAAAAATGGGATATTATGGAATCTTTACTATGACTACGGGGATGTTCCTCGTTGTGATGGCCTATGGAATTTTCTGTTTAAAGGAACCTGATCAGTTTCTAAAACAGAAAGGTCGTCCACCGGTAAGTAGTACCATAATTGAATATAAATTTCAAATTTATTACACAAAATATGATAAATGACAAAATCTTCAATTTTTTATACATTTTAAGATTTTAACCCATAGAAAGACGAATCTGGTCTTGACCACATTGACATAGAACCAATACAATAAAAAACTATCATCATTTCAGCTCTTATCTATCCACTGCAGAACATAGGTCTTCTCCATCGACTGCCATACTTTCTGTATATTAAAAAAAAAACATTAAAATCGGTGTAAGATTGTAAGTCATACTTAGCATAAATAAGATATACAGTTAGTTAAACTGTTTTATTTTAATTTGGTTATGATTATTCTTTGTCTTGTTAATTGTATTGTATAATATTTCATATTTATTTGTAATCAAGTAATGGTAATAGTATTGAATGTTTCGATGTTAATATAATTACCTGTTCTTAAATTGTTGCATGCCCGATAGGGTATAACTGTTGATACTGATGTCAAATTCAAAGCAATAGTTACTGCTATATGTATGTACACAGTTAGCAATAAAATTCTATTCTATTCTATTCTATTCTGAAAACCTTCTGCTTCTTAAAGTCAACTTAAATCTGTCAATAATACCTACAAATTTTATTATATCTGACAGCTTTTCTATAAAATTAAACCTGAACATGGAATATGCAAACAAATTGTATTATTAGAACCATATTTACCTGATGGATAATAATGCAACTTTTAACTAAAACGGACGGGAGCTCACAACTGTTTTAGTTAGTAAAACTTTGTTCGACAGTTAATTTGCGATTTCAATTTACCAATTGCACTGCAGTTGCATAGTCTCCCATTTCAAATTGAAGTTCACTGGAATATTATGCGATTTAGTATAAATCTTTTTTTCATGCAACTTAGAATGGCAAGTTATGATGGCCCACTTGATGGCAAGTAGTAACCGTCGCCTATAGACATGAGCAGTACCATGGACATAACAGGGTATACCGTTTCTCCCATGATACCCCCAGGCGTTGCCATTCCTGAGGATTCAGGAGTTATTCCTCTGTACCCTCTAAATTCACTGCCATATCACACCCTTCAAACCGAAACGCAGCCATGCAAACATGACATTGTTTTATTTATATTAACATAGCATTAAGACAGCTACACTAATTCATTAGGATTATTTATTAACCTGCAAAAATAGTGCAGATATAAATAAATAAATAAACTGCTTCTCGATAGAAACACGAATGAGACAGAGGTGCCCAAGCAAACGACTTTTGTACAAAGTCTCCCTCTAGTAAATATTTTTTATTTATTTTATTTATTTACAGTAGTCAAGAGCTTATACAAGTAATTGAATATAATGTACAATAAATTTTATATTAATTAATTAACACCAGAAATAAACTTTGTTGCCATCCCGTGAAATAATGAGAATGCAATGGAATAAGTTTACATTTTTGTGAAATAATATCCATTTTTCTACCAATCTTTACACCAATATTTATGACATAGACAGATAAAATGCTCACCATATGAACTCATTACAACATTAGTAGCTATTCATCATGTTTTATGTTTATATATATATATATATACCCATTCCAATAATCAAGTATCGCGTTCGTGATTCACTGTTCATTCCAAAGGTTGACTGGTAGAGAATGCTAGTAGCATAAAGGCCGCCTTTTGTACCATACTTTATTTTAGTCAATAAACGTATATAAGTAAATAAATAAATTAAAATAAACAGTGTATGGTCATCATTGAAGCTCAATTTAAACCCTTGTAGATACAACATCCTTCCTCTTGCATTTGAGTGCAGATCATAGGTCCCAAATTCGAATTCTAATATAAACCTCTGAAAAATGTTGTCCTGTTCCCCTATATCTACATACCAGGTCTATTTTTTATCGAGATAAAATTATATTATCACTCAACCTGTAACAAATAATATACATTTTTAAAATGTCCTTAAAATCAATTGAATGATTTCAAAGATCAGAGAATGGTTCAAAACATTGTGATACGATATTTGTGTATACATTTATATTAAGCTTGGTTTATATAGATAGAGCATCGAGCCTAAAAACTGGTCAACTTTTTGTCAAAATAGCTCACTCGTTTTTTATCAGTGTTCTATATCTCACATCCTATCGTAAAAGTCCAAAGGAACAATATTTTAACATTTTTAATATTTCCAAACGCCATGTATTATGTAATTTTAACATCACATTTGTGTTTCGTTTAGCTCCGAAATTTCGGAACACACTTCATGGTAGGCCCACAGCCTTATTTGATGAAAAGTGGTATTCGTCGCATATAGACATGGCTACCATAATGAATATATGTTAACAACATTCTATTAGTAGCATAATCTATAATCTAAAAGTTATAGTAATAAACTCTGAGTATAATAATAACACAGAGGACTCGACGTCAAAAACATAATGTAGATTATACATTGATAAGAGTAATATAGTAATCCACGTTTAAAATAAATGTACGGCTAAATTTACGCACATTATAAAATGTATGTGTGTGTGTATATCTCTCTCTCTCTCTCTCTCTCTCTCTCTCTCTCTCTCTCTCTCTCTCTGTGTGTGTGTGTGTGTGTGTGTGTGTGTGTGTGTGTGTGTGTGTGTGTGTGTGTGTGTGTGTGTGTGTGTGTGTGTGTGTGTGTGTGTGTGTGTGTGTGTGTGTGTGTGTGTGTGAAAAAAAATTCCAGTGCAATTTCAATACACATACTTTTCGACCTATTTCTATTGTCAGGGCATTAACTATGTTGTATGTATGTGTTGTATATATGTATTACCTATCAATTATCCAGTACCAACAATACAAGCTCTGCTTATTTATCTAGTAACTAGATTGGGTTATGTCAATAAATTAATTGATGTTTAACTACTCATTATAATATAAATCTACCTTATAAAGCTTTTATATATTCGCAGTTGTCTTTACACTTAATATATAAAATTAATGACTTCTTACTACGATTTATTTATTTGTTAATATTCCGAATAATATCTAAATATCGGCGCAATTAAAACAAATAACTAATCATGGCAAAAATCTATTAAATTTGTTAATTTCATGATTCGTGTTTTTGGGTACCTTTGTCCCATTCGTGTTTCTGCCATAAACCAGTTGTGTAATGCTGTGTTTCAGTTTGAAGACTGGAACATGGCAATCAAATTAGAAGGTATAGAAGCATAATACCTTCCACCAGAGTGGAAATGCATAAATATTATCATGGGTGACAGAGTATATTCTGTTATGTCCATGGGATTGTTCATGTCTATAGGCAACGGTTACCACTTTCCATCAGGTAGGCCGTCAGCTTTTTGCCATTCTAAGTTGCATTAAAAAGAAATTAAAAACTTTTATAGTAGTATTTTTATTAAATAAATAAATGAATAAAACAAGTACATCAATATTTAATAATCAGTGGTTGCTATAAAAACTACGCCAATTGTCTGTACAAATTTAATTAAACCTCTTTTCAAAGTCATACTTACTAATCGCTCAGTAAATTATTGTAGAATTAATCTTTTAGATAAGCGTTAATTATGTCAATGATAAACAAAATAATTCAGAATAGAAGCAATTATAAATTCGGGGTACTCATTCTATCGATAATAGTACGTAAATAATATAGATATAATGTAATTAATTTATTTTCATTTATTTGTAGATAAAATTATTTACAAAATGTCTGGCAAGATAAATATAGACATAATATGACATAGCATTTGCAGTGCAGTAGTTGGAATGTTGTTTTGCATAAATGAAGCACATAGTTCGATCTCGGTGAGACCAATTTAGAGAATGATATTTTTAATTGGCAACAAAACATTTTATTTTCCCATATACGACTTGTATAATACGATTTTTTTGCAGCTTGCAATGACAATCAATCTAATGGTAGATCTGACCGATAACCATGAAATTCACAGACTTCACTCATGTCTATATAGGTTGCCATTAAGGTGCTATGCTTCCGTGCCATAATTGCTACAGTTATGCCACGAAAATACCCACTAACGTATGCGGCCCGCATGCACGCCACCCACGTGCACACACGCACACATGTACGCACGCATGTACACACACACACACACACACATATGTACACACACACAAATTTACTTTTAACAAAGGCTCTACTTTCTATATATTTCGATTGTCGCTACTGTTATTGGTACAGACAGTGACTACCATAAATGTTTTCAACAAACGTGTAAGTGTCATTGCCCTAGCTAACTACCAACAAACTTTGCCCACAGATAGAACGTGAGAGCAGTACGGAAGTGTCGTTTTTCGATGTGACTCACGTTGGCGAAACAATTGCAGTGGCGTACAGGCCCCGTCCCTCCAACAGAAGGGTCAAAGTTATCCTGACACTTTTCACCGTCTTCATACTCTTCGGGCCGAGCATGTGTGAGTTGACGAGTTTATTATGAGCGAAACGTGAGCCGGATATCAATGTGTGACACGCAAACATATTAAAGCTAGGTACCATTAAACTAAGTGATAAGGATTCAATTCTCATAAAGAAATAGCCAGTAATAAGAATTCTTTATACTGCTAGAATAATACGAGAGTAATTCAATAAAAATATGTAAGGTACAAAGTTAAGACATAAACAACCGAATTCTATCACCCTCATTGGGTGTGTTTCACCCATTGAGGTATGCCTCTCATGCTTTTTTCTAATGACTTGACTCATACCTTTTGGATCAAATTTTAATTAAAATAGTATACTTTTACAAACTGACTGCTTGTTTTAGAATATTTTTTATCCCTTATATAATATAATCCCCTTTTAACTACCATTGTCTGTTTAAATCAGTATTTATAATAAAAAGACAAATGTTTTGAGAATAATTGGTTATTTATTCATAATATCCGGCTCTAAGGACCACTTTCCGAATATAAAATAAAATATAGAACTAAATTTGAACTTATCACCGTTGATTAGATAAATTTATGAGATCACTGGTTAACAATTTTGTAATTCCATTTAAAAAAACAGGTGAAAAATGTTGCCATGTTGCAAAGTGCAATCTGCCTAACTTTGTGTTGCCACAATAAATAAATAAAAATTATATTGGACAATATGAATATAAATCCAAAACTATTAAATGACTTCTATATAACAATACTCTTGTAATTGTATATTTATTTAATGTATTATAATTATTTTAATATGATTTACATTTCATAATTTCAGCGGAACACCACGTATTCTATCTCTTCGTTAGGAACCGTTTAAATTGGGACATGGTCAAATATGGTCTCTACACCAGTTACTCTATTCTTTTACACTCAATAGGTAAGTGGTACAGCTTCAATACATCTGTTTTATTATAAGTAATCAATGTTAATACTCGTAATAGGTCAACGGGCACATTACGTTTTATCAACACATTTCAAATAAAACGCAATGGCAGCTGCATAATTACCTTCATTATTATGAAAGATGTGTTTTATACAATATCGAACTCAGTGATAATTCTCCTATACCTTCCGCATTTATTGAGTACTAAATTATTAAGTATTAATTAATATGATCTATGCAATATCTAATTAATATTTATATAATCATAATTATCACAGTCCAGAGGGAGACTTTGTACAAAAGTCGTTTGCTTGGGCACCTCTGTCCTATTCGTATTTCTACCGTGAAGCAGTTGTGTTTGCATGACTGTGTTTCGGTTTGAAAGGTGGGATTTTACAGTGAATTTACAGGGTACAGAGGAGAACACCTAAGTCCTCAGGAATGGCAACGCATGGGCGTATCATGGACGAAAGAGTACACTCTGTTATGTCTCATGTATGCTCATGTCTATAGGCGACGGTTACCAATTTCCATCAGGTGGACCGTCAGCTTGTTTGCCATTCTAAGTTGCAAAAAAAGTACACTCCAAATTCTACAAGAACTACTGTTAAGATTTTATTTAACAATTCTTTTTAATAATAAAATATTGAACAGAGCTGTATGTCATTGCCATTCTACATACCAATATAAAACTTTTTTTATTATATTTAAAATGAGAAACAAGCTGACTGGCCACCTGATGGAAATTGGTAGCCATTCCCTATATGTATTCGGGTTCGGTTACCAATTTTATTCATGTGAACAGTAAAATAATCATCACAGAATACACTGTGATGCCCATGATGTTATACCTCACTATCCTGTAACTTTACTTCCATATACCAAGAATACTTACCTCACAATACTTGTGTAGATATAATAATAATGATATTCAGTAATATATTGTAAAACTCCGGAGAGAGCCTGGAGATCTGTAGTACAGGTTTCGACCTAGTTCAGACTCCAGACTCTCACAAGGATAATAATTTTAAGTTAAAATTCTGAATAGTTATACAATGTAAAATATTCCTTGTGAGTAGTAAATAAAGATTATTTATTATTAATATATCGTCTCTTACGACACACTGGAAAGGAAAGGGTGGTCATTCTATACCAGGACTTCATGACGATATTGATTACAGTCTGTTAATTTTTTTTTAATTTAATGACTTTCAGGCGCCATGTTTTCCATCACGGTGTTGAGTAGACGTCTGCAGGTGGACGACTCATTACTTTGTCTCGTGTCTATTTTGAGTAAATTCGTTGGCTCAATATGGATAGCCTTCGTAAGATCCGATATAGAAATGTATTTAGGTAAGTGATTTTTATATGTGTTTGATTTTTTTTTTTCACTATTGAAGGATCCCACTATTGATCATACGGAAACGATGATGTGGTCTAAAATGGGACTCGAGGGCCCACCAATAGTCTATTCACATTGCCTTAAATTGGTTTAGATCATGTTTGGATGAACAAACATAAACAAGGAATAAGAATAAGGTGGAAAGGAATAAGGTGGTAGTGGTGTTATACCACCATAGCCGAACTATAGTAAAGAAATAAATAAGCCTAGAAAAGATATATTATTTCAACTAATCTTGTGCCTTGTTTGTGTTCAAATCTTAATATTTTCAATCGTAAATATACAAGACATAATTTTTGAAAATATACAACAATAATCAACGTCACGACTAAAAATAATTCGGTTTTTCCTAGCATTAAACATATTTTAATGTAATAATTACCGGTTTAACCGACTCAGTCGGGCTCCTGCTCGCACACATAAGCTCATGACTAAGGACCACGAATTGATTCCGAAACTAGTCGAGCTGCTTCGATCTAATTACACGTAAGTTAAACCGGTAGTATTTACATGACATTACATACGGTAGTGATTACCAGAGGGAGACTTTGTACAAAAGTCGATTGCTTGGGTACCTCTGTCCCATTCGTGTTTCAATCGTGAAGCAGTTGTGTTTGCATAGCTGTGTTTCGGTTTGAAGGGTGGGATATGGCGTGAATTTACTGGGTACAGAAGAATAACACCTGAGTCCTCAGGAATGGCAACGCATGGGGGGTATCATGGGCGAAACAGTATACTCTGTTATGTCCATGGTACTGCTCATGTCTATAGGCGACGGTTACCATTTTCCATCAGGTGGGCCGTCAGCTTGTTTGCCATTCTAAGTTGTATAAAAAAAAAACCATGAAAACATTCTAATTAATATGTATAATATTTCATTTTAGTACCGGTCGCGGAATTTCTTAATGGCACAACATTTACATCTCTGCGATCGATTATTTCAAAACTAGTTGATAAACAAGAAACAGGTAAGATACTATCATCATCATCATCATCATCATCATCATCATCATCATATTAGCCTTTAATTATTCACTGGTGAACATAAGCCTCCCCTAAGAGGATTTTTCCAGATGTTGCCATGCTTGGGAGGCGGATTGGCAACCGCAGTTAGGCTTTGGATATGTTTTAAGAGGGACGCTGTTACCCATTCCTCGACCTCCTTATTCGCCTCTTACGACATCCACGGGTAAAGAAGAGGTGGCCTATTCTATGCCGGGACCACACAGCTATCATCATCATATTAGCTGTTAACTATCCACTATTGAACATAGGCCTCCCCTAAGGGGATTTTGCCAGATGTTGCCACGCTTAGCAAGCGGGTTGGCAACCACAGTTAGGCTTTTGGTGATGTTTTAAAAGGGACTGTATTATAACTTTTTTTCATCCATTTTAATTTTAATTTAAATTCAACAAATAAAACACATTATTGTCCCAAAGATTCTAGTCCCAAACCCTTCCAGGGTTCATATTGATTCTTTACCTTTACATAGCTTAACATATATTGTTACAATATGAAATAGCAATATATGATTGAATTAAATTGAATTGAGATTGACTGGTAGAGAATGCTACTAGCTTTAAGTCTGCATTTTGTACCTTATTTTATTTTGGTCAGTAAAATTATTTGAATAAATAAATTATTTAACACAAAGTAAAGTTTGTAATGCGTTTCATGGTCAACTTTGTGTGAAATAGTATTTGGATAAAAAAAATAGCTCAATTTCAAACGTGGTCTCTTTGTATCTATATAAATCTGATCACATTTTATTTCTATTGACTAACATATGGCCAGTCATATATTTTCACACAACTTTTACTTTATAATATGAGTACATAATAGTTTACAATATTTCATAAACATAAGAACAAACAGAGTAACATTACAATATGCTTGCTCTTCGATCAAGATTTTTATTTATTTGTGTATTTTTTATTGACCATATTACAAAAAAAAATATTGTTATATAAGGTGAATTTAATTTATTATTATATTTTTATATAAGCCATTAACTGTCCACAAGCCACTCCCATAAGGGGGGTTCTACCAGTAGTTACTACGCTTGACATTCGGGAAACCGCTGTTAGGCTTTGAAAATGTTTTAAGAGGGGCGCTGCTGTCCATCCCTCGAACATTTAGTTCTCTTAGCGACTAAGGGACCTTATTTATCATCATATCAGCCTTCAACTGTCCACTGCTGCACATATGCCTCCCCGTGGGGGTTTTGCCAGTAGTTGCCACGCTTGGCAGACGGTAATTGCAGTTAGACTTCGGAGGTATTTTAAGAGAGTCGCTGCTGCCTATCTCTCGACCTCCTTTAGTCGCCTCTTACAACACTCACGGGAAAAGAAGCGATGATTCTTTCTATGCGGGGACCATACGGTAAAATTAACGCTATGTAGCATTGTCTCCCAGTCAGCCATTGAAAAAATAGAAATGTTATTATACAGTGAAAAATATTGAAAATTGTTACAACCAATATTATAATTGAAAAACATTTTTTAGACACTTAACAATTTATAACATAATTGGAAATTGTTATAGAAATATTATTAAAATAAAAAAAAATATCTACTTTGAAATTTTTCAATCATACATACATACATACATACGTATCTGTCACGCCTGTCTCCCATTAGGGTAGGCAAAAACAATGGAACGCCAAATGCTTCGATTCAAACAAACCTCTTTCGCTTCTTCCACATTCATCAATCTTTTCAATTTTTAATCTTTTTAATTTTTCAATCACTAAATAATTATTTAAATGATTATTATTAGAATAAATGAATTTATTTTTGAAAATGTTTGCGTGATAAACAACATACAAATCTATGTTACTAATAAAAACTAATGTTACTATTTCAGCTAAGGTAAACTCTTTGTTTTCGTTAACGGAAACATTGGCATCGTTGCTGTTTAATCCATTCTACTCGTGGATGTACATGAGAACTCTCCACGTCCTGCCCGGTGCTGTATTCCTCATCAGTGCTGCTCTAATCGTACCTGCTTCTTTTGTACTTATGTAAGTACCTTATTTATCCTCATCATCAAATCGGGCTTTAACTATCCACTGCTGAACATAAGCCTCCCCGTGGAGGGTTTTGCCAGTAGTTGCCACGCTTGGTAGACGATTGATTGATTGACAATCGCAGTTAGACTTTGGTGATGTTTTAAGAGAGACGCTGCCTATCTCTCGACCTCCTTTAGTCGCCTATTAAGACATCCACGGGAAAAGAAGGAATAGATAAATAGTACTCTTTATTGTTTCCTCCAAAAGATTACAATAGTAAACTTATTATAATTGGTCTTTTCTATGCCGAAAACACATGGCGAACTTATTCATATTTTGCAAAATTTAAAAAGTTTTAATACTACAATTTACTATTCAGTTCCGCCACAATGATGTCAAATATTCGAATATTTTATCCAAGGTTAGTTGGTTCATATTCATTTGTTGGATTCCACTATGATTTGTATGTGTGCGACTACCAATATTTGAGGATTGACTACAAAATACTCTACGAACTTTCCTATGAATCATCAATCTAAAATAACATTAATTAATTATATTACTTATACTTTTTATTCTTGCAATAATTATAACCAATAAAATAAATAGCACCAAAAAATGCATTTCCAAGGACGGTTGACATCAAACAGATGAACAGTTATGAAACTAGAAGACAAAACCACCAATCCCAAAATTTATATAATTAGACTATCCCAATTATATAAATTTTGCTACCTTTATGGGGAAAAGAAATGATGATGAATTGCATACAAATGCCACATCATAATGTGAACAGTTACCGTAATACACCATACCATACACCATAGATTTTATTTAATACTCCTGAACCTATCCAGAATTCTGTAACAATCTTAATGATTTTCTGCACTCAATTGTCATCATATCAGCCATTAACTGCCTACTGCTGTACATAGGTCTCCTCCTTGAGGGCTTTGCCAGTAGTTGCCATGCTTGACTGCCGCCTGGGCTTACCAATCCCAGTTAAGCATTGGTGATATTTTAAGGGATGCTGCTGCCCCTCCCTTGACCATTAAGTTCCGTTAGTTGCCTCTTACGACACCCACGGAAAAGGCAGGGGAAACTGTACTGCAATCATTTTCCCTAATTGAAAAGAATATTTTCAAATATAAAATTAATCTTAGTAAACATATGATTGTTTTTATATGATACTTATAATGGCAAAAAAGCTGACGAAAAGTGGTACCCATCGCCTCTAGACATGTATAGTACCATACATATCACAGAATATAAACATGATGTTTTTACGTCACATGATATTTGTATGTTTTGGTCTCTCAATCAAGCCAAGATATTAATTTTGATATCCTGTTTATCATAGTACTATTTAATTGTTCGATACATATCTGACAATTAATTTATATATTTACTTTAATTTTCAGTACTTTTTACATACAACACAAAACGGAAGTACGCAAAGCAAGAAAACATGCGCTGGAAGCGGAAGAAAAGAAAGAAGCTGAAGCAAAAGTTAGCAATGCTATCGCTTTCTACAATCCCGATACTAAAGATCTTAGTAATAAAAACATTCAAACAGCAAATGTTCCTCCACTATCGAATAATAAGACTGTTTCTAATAAAATAGAGGCCAGTAAAAAAGAAACTTAAATTATTGAAATCAGCAATAAAAAATCTGTCAGAAATCCGTGTTCCGTATAATAAATACTGACGAATAAATGTTTATCTAAATGTCATAGAACTATCAATTAACAGCACAACACACATGAAACTAAATGTCAATTTTAAAAAATTGTAAAGCAGCAAACATACTGTAGGACACGCACGCACCGCGATTGATGGATGCAACTCAAGAGCGTGCAGTGTTCAGCTGTCTCTCCTTAATCGATTTACATGTGTGTTAGCAATGAGCGACTTTACTAATCCGACTACAATTATTCGACTGAGCAAATCATTCGGATTGTTCGAATGATTTTCAATTCATTCAACTGCTAATGTTGTTCATTTGACTTCTAGTTTCATTCGACTACTAATTTCATTCACTAGTAGTTTCTGCTACTTGCTATTTTTTCTTAATAGGCAAGAATATTGCCAATTATATATATGTAGTCTAAATTACTAATTTTCGATAGTTATGATGAAAGTAGTAGGAAAGTAAATTTTTACTAATAATTATTTACATTAGAAATGAATGATAGTCTGCCGCGGATTTTTTTAAATATAGAATTAGTTGTTACTAATTAGTAAAATCATTCGAATGTGAAAATTTGAATATTACTAATTTAGTAGTCGAATTACAAAATTAGTAGTTACTAATTATTCGAATAACAAAATCATTCGGTATCGCGCACCGCTAATGTGTATGTGCAAAATATTCAGACCATGCTACGCCCAGATCGTTGTCGGACACCCGATAGTTCATGGACAGTCCAAGATCGAGTCCGCGACTTACGACCCTTAATATGCACAGTTTAATGTAAATATACTGTTCACATCGCGTCCTCCGGCTGCAACCGATGCGGTTTAAGTATTATTAAGTTGCATACATATTTAAATACACTATTAGGACTTAGCGGGATCAAAAATTTTGCAGGTAAATAATATCTACATATATATGTATACCTGCTTCTTCATTGCTGACGTTTCGAAGTAAATTGTACCACGCCGTGATCAAGCTATATGTTTATTTTTTTTTATGGGTGAAAATTGTACCACGTCAGTGAAGGGTGATAGATGAGAATCAAGCCCATCATGATGAATTCATGTTGTATATCAATACCTGGTTGGGTATATTGCTATATGGGATTCTTAGTCTCCATTACTATTCACCTATAAAATTTTTCATCACGCTAAGTCCCGATAGTGTATTTAAATATGTGTAAACAACGGGAAATTTTAAAATTATCTATGTCGCATACAATTTGAAAATCTGTATATTGGATACATATTTCCAAATAAATTATGGCTTAAAGACTTTAAATATCCCTACTTTATATAGGGAATCTCATGCTATGGAAAAAAATGCCAATATTATCGAATTACAAAAATTTTAAATTATTGCAGCTGAATTAATATAATTGGCACAATAACTCAGAGAACCTTTGTTTCTTCACCTTTATCTTATCTACAAAACTGTTATACCTATCAGTTTTAACTAAACAAACCAAGGTTAAACTTTCAATGGATTAGTGATATTTGGTAATAATTATCTTTAACGATTTAAACCGTACATAATAACTGTTATATAATATTATTTCAGCCGTTAACTGTCCACTAATGGAAATAAGCTTTCCCCCTAAAGAGAGTTGCCAGTAATTGCCACGCTTAGCAGGCGAGTTAGCAACCGCAGTTAGTCTTTTAGAGATGTTTTAAGGGGGACGCTGCTGCCCATCCCTCCACCATAAGTTACCTTAGACGCCTCTTACGACCTTCACGGGAAAGGAAGGTGTGGCCCATTCTATTTCGGGACATGCATGGCGAACGTACTGTACATTATCTATATATCAATAAATTAATAGACAAGGGAATTCTTCATTTTTTTTATACAATTTAGAATGGCAAACAAGCTGACGGCCCACCTGATGGAAAGTGGTAACCGTCGCCTATAGATATGAGCAGTACCATGGACATAACAGTATACTGTTTCACCCATGAGTTGCCATTCTGAGGACTCAGGTGGTTTTGCTCTGTACCCAGTAAATTCACGTCATATCCCACCCTTCAAACCGAAACACAGCCATGCAAACAGAACTGCTTCATGGTTAAAACACGAATGGGACAGAGGTACTTAAGCAATCGACTTATAAGATTAAATTGAAAAATTAAAATGATACAAATTTCTTAAAAATATGTGGAATAACATATTCCATATATGTTATATAATAACACAATATATGGAAGATAAACCGTGTATATATTTTATTTTAATATGTATATATCTAAATGTATGTTATGTTATATATATTTATTATAATATGTATTATTGTAAGTACTTAAGTGTGTGTATGGTATTCATATGATTATTTGCATATTTTTTTACCCGAGCGTTTTTCTTTTAGATATACTTATTGCATCAAATAGCTACCGTCTCTTTCTCTTCTACACAAAGGTTGTCTGGAAAACATTTCTTTAGCTATACGACCACCTTTTGTACTTCATAAATGTATACATATTGTTTTTAAGTGGTGATTCGTAACGATTGTTATTTTTACTAATTACTTTCGCATAGACATAGACATAAAATTTGTTTTCATTTTTAAATAATTAAAAATGACCGCCTTTTTAATTGATACATATATATTAATTTGTAAGCAATACATACCTATGTACATTTATATTATATAAAAATAAATAGTTCCGAATTAAAATTTATAAAAGCGACCTGAACTGGAAATTTGTTAATTCAATTACAAAACTGGAAAATAAAGTAAATATTATTATTTAAAAGTAAAAAATATATTTTAGTCAATCTATGGTCAAATTAACTCTACTATGACCTATTTTTGACACTCAATACTTTATCTATATAATCTAAACATACAATATGCATATTACGTATATTGAAACGACTAAAAATTACCCAATATTTAAAACAGATTTCTAATTAGCACCGATAAAGGAATATTTATTTACAGGTGTTATATTTTTATGTCGTTTCAAGGACAAAGATTATTTTAGGTAAGACACAGTGAAGCGATTATAACTGGATTAGCCAATAATGTTTCTAGATAATTTAATTACAATAGTTACCATATTTTCAAGCACATCGATTATTTTGTTTAATCTTGTTAATATATTATACCAATACCAATGTTTTCTTTTTTAATGCGTGAAAATGGATTGGTAACCCCGCCCGCGCTCTCGGTATACACCGACGAGGCACCAGTGGAAGATGATAGGTGAGAATGAATGCAGGTTAGTTGGCCCACCATAATGAATTCGACAAGAATTAAACATGATGGTTTCCAGGGGGAACCGCGTGGAGGTCAACCTGAGAGGGTATATTGCCGGTAATGGGGTTATTAGACCCCATTACTAACAATCCCTTTCCCCTCCCAATACAAATGTTATTATGATGTATTTACATTAAATTTACTTGTTTAAAAATTTAATATTAACATTCATCATCATTATCATCATTTTAGCCATTATCCGCCACTTCTGAACATAGGCCTTCCCCCATAGACCGCCATAAAGAACGGTTCTGAGCCACTTACATCTGCTGACTTCCTGCAATGTATTTGAGGTCGTCACTCCCTCTAGCGGGGGGTCGTCCTACACTGCGTTTGTTCGTACGGCTGATATACTGTTGCACTTGTAAATTACATAGATAACATTGTACGAGTTGTATAAGCACATGCAAATTTTTAACACAGAAAAAAAAAACTTATTACATCGTTTAACAAAATTCACGTTTACAGACTGTGTGTGTGTGTGTGTGTGTACATAAGTAAAATTATCAAAAATATAAAGATAATTTTTGACTTAGTGACAGTACTATTATACCCTTTACATTTTTCAAAAACTCTTATTTATTCTTGTTTGTGTGTTTCAATTTAATTTGTAGTCTGTGATTATAAATTACTTTAACTCATTCTAATTACATACAATGTTGATATGTCTATATAAAAACTTTATATCTGTCTATACGGAACACTGTTGTATAAAACTGATATTAATGAAAAAGTATTTTCTTTTATAACATTATTTTAAGTATTTTGTTATTACTTTAGTAATTTGTTATTTTTTTTCTAATTATGTTATTGTTATAAATAATGTTTATAAATCGAACTTTAAACATCTCGAAAACAAAAAGCACAAAATTTCGATATAATTATAAGTGTATAATAAAATATAACGTCTACATCAGTTTTTTTTTTTTTTATATTTTCCACTAACTGCATAAATTATAAGGTTCTAAACTTTTTTTTTTAATATCACACTTTTACAGGGTACAGAGGAATAACACCTGAGTCCTTTACGAATGACAACGCATGGGGGTATCATGGGCGAAACAGTGTACTCTGTTATGTTCATAGTTATGCTCATGTCTATAGGCGACGGTTACCACTTTCCATCAGGTGGGCCGTCAGCTTGTTTGCCATTCTAAGTTGTATAAAAAAACTGATACATGTATCAAGCGCTATTTTTGCCAATAATAATAATTCTTTAATGACAACAACTTCGATAGTAAGTGAAATAATGGGTAAATAGTTGTATTTCTTTGATTACATATGTCATTCGTCACAGAACGTTTCAAAGAATACTGTCTGGCACTAGTATGTCGCGTTGTGTGGAACATTTCTTACCAGTCGGACCATTATTCTAACGATTCGTCCAAACTTTTAGTTTAAAGCGAATACAAATAAATACAACGTACTCGCGTGATAGTGAAACATAATAGAACTTGGACAATCTCAGGTCAGTTGGCTTGTCGTGTATCACTAGAAATAATAGACCAATTAAATGTTTGGAGAAATAAAAAAAAAATATTTTGAACAGGATAATGTAATTTTTTTTAATGAGTGAAAATGAAATGGTATCCACGCCTGTGCTGTCATTGACATACGCTGGCGAGGTACTAGTGAGAGATGATGGGTGAGGATGAAAGAATTTGACGAATTAAAAAAAAGTAACTACAATGGTTTCGCCTGGAAAATATTGTCGTTAATTTTTGGGATTACTTGACTTTATTGTTTTATTGGATTTCGTCCTAATAGAGTATATTGCTAGGAATGGAACTATTAAACCCCACTACTAATGTTTTAATAATACTAAATAATTAAGTCATCACAGCACTTAAACATTTTTATATAATGTATTGGATAATTATATTATTTTCTATGACAATATTATTTTCAATTCTAAACTATTAACTAAGAATTAAATTTACAAATTTGTATACAGTTTTAAGATCATATTACTTGGTATTGACGTTAAAACATATTATCAAGTCAATAAATAATAATGAACTAATAAATTAATAATTTAAGTTTATTAGTTATTAACAATACGCGTAACATAATAGAAATCAACGGTATTTTGAGATAACGTTTCTTTTTTACATGTATATTACAGTATTATAATATTTAATTATACATAATATTATATCACCATATAGGTCCATCCCGGTGTAGAATAAGCTACCCCTTCCTCTCCTGTGGGTTTTTTTTATACAATTTAGAATGGCAAACAAGCTGATAGCCCACCTGGTGAAAAGTGGTAACAGTCGCCTATAGACATGAGCAGTACCATGGACATAACAGAATATACTGTTTCGCTCATGACACCCCCCATGCGTTGCCATTCCTGAGGACTCAGTCTCACTCTGTTTAATTCATATTTACACCATTTTTATTTATTGTCCTATAAATTTGAATTCAATTTACATAAAAACAAATATTCCTAATAATATAGTAAGCATGTTCTTCTTTATGTCCCTGTGTGTAATCTAAAATTCTGACAAATATATTACTATCAAACAGTTATCTTTCACAGATTACGGATCAATATCATTTTTCATGTGATATGACCATTCATTTAGTATTCCAGATTGGCAGTTCACTATATAATGCGTCTTTAATTCAACCATAATTATAAAATGGAACCTGCAAATCGTGAATCTTATATAGAAAATAAAATTATTGATGAAGAAACTACAGAAGAGCAACCTTTTCGGCAAAATGAAGAAACAGTGGAAAAAAACCAAAGGACTTGCTGTGAAACTCTCTCGCTAGTATACAATAATATAACTGTGGAACCTTCAGTTGTATTATTCGTAATTCCGTACATATTAATGACATTAACTTCCCAGAATTTGGGATTGGAGAAAGCGTGTAGAGTGAACTTAAACTTCGGTGATGAGATTTGTACAGCGCTCAAACAGCAAACCGTGGAAAGTCAAAATTCATACGAAAAGGAGGTGCAAAAGTTAGTGACATCTGCTTACGCATGGAAAACATACATAACTGCTACACTTCCATGTCTCTTGGGTATTTTTGTTGGTTCCTTTTCTGATAGAACGGGACATAGAAAATGTTTCTTGTTGATGCCAATTGTTGGACAAATTCTAGCTTCTATTAGCAGTGTGTTGAACGTATATTTCCTTGACAAGACTAATCTAGAGACTTATGTTCTCACTGAAGCAGTCATCGAAGCTCTTAGTGGGGGAATGTCAGTGTTTTTTATAACTATATTTGCCTATATAAGTGCTATTACGACTAACGAAACTAGAACATTTAGAATGGGCATGGTTAATTTTGCACTTACAGCGGGAGCTCCTGTCGGGATGGCTTTAAATGGTGTTGTTTTAAAATATCTAGGCTATTATGGAGTCTATGCATTAGTTGGTGGTCTGAATCTATTGAATCTGCTGTATAACATGTTTGTGTTAAAGGACCCGAAAAGGAGCACTGAACAAAAAAAGGTAACTGGTTATTTTTTTAAGGTCAGTTTCTTTTTTAAAACTTAAAATTGTCACAAATTTATGTAATATTTATTTATTTATACGATATTGCATTATAACATATATAACAAACATTAAATACGATACAATATTAATGCACATGCCTATTAAAAGTATTCACAGCATTTATTTTAACATAATTATACAGTATGAAATTAAATAACCAATTTTAAGGAATTAGGTAATACTAGAGTACTAATATTCTAAAATTTACATTATATATATATATATATATATATATATATATATATATATATATTGAGCGAAAAAATACTGGAGTAAATAGTATGTTGTCAATTTTAATTATCAACAAAATACTTCTATATAGACGTCGGAAATGACATCAATACTCATAAAAAATATATATGAAAAATACAACAAAACATTATTTTGCATTGATAGTAAAGGCAGGCGCTTATACTTTTTCAAAGTCACATGTAACTAATTTATGTAAACGTAATCAGCGGATAAGTAAATAACATGTTTAAGTATAATTTGTAAACAATTTAAATTTTATCGTATAATAATGTGAATTCGACCAAGGGTGTAATGCACACAAAATAACAAAGTTCCGTTGCTACTTTAAAGGACCTCTGAAATATGATATTTTTATTCATATAAAATATCTACATCCAAATCCATACACATATTTGATTAAAAACATACGGTTGATTATTTTAAGTTAAACTGTAAAAAAATCAGTAACTTTTATAATAAACATATGTAATGGCGTGTGTGTGTGGTTATACACACACACGCTCATAAGCACGGGCACGCACATATCGTCATAGTCGTAGAATACTGACGGATCTGACAAATATTACATATATAGATCCGTCAGTATTCTACGACTATGACGATATGCGCACACGCACATGAATACGTACACCCACACGCGCGTGCGCACATACACACATAGAGAGAGTTAAAGAGAGAAAGAAAAAATAATAATGAATACAAGCAATTACAATGAAGAATTCCTCTTCCATATATTGGTCGTATTACTGTAGCTTATACAATCCATAACTGAAATTACTTATATTTGATATTGATTGTAATGATTCAATAACATGTTACTGTGTGATATAAAAAGCGGCCTATCTATGTGTATTAGTATGATTAACGAGTCGGTACTTAAAGGTAAAAAATAATTTATTCTGTTCAGAGCAACAAAACAACAGAAATACGAGTACATCGATAACTAAATCACTGATAATAGTCTTCAGTTATTATTAAAGAGCTTCTATATAAATGCCTCAGACTATTCCATCGGGAATTATAATTTCATAAAATTTATTTCTTAATTTTATCTATACTTATAAAAAAGTTTGCTCTGACTATTACTTAATACACAGCCAAAACTACTAAGTATGAAAAGCTGAAATTTAGAACATATATATGTCTATTTTAAAACGTAAGAATTTACTATGAAAGTGATTTATGAAATTTTCAACTTAAAGAGAAGATACCACGCGTGCAAAGCTACGGGCAACAAATATTTGAGATTAATTGGGAACAATTTTTTTTTTCAATTCCTAAAATAAGGACGATTGTGCTTTATACGAAGCAATTTTCTAAACTACGGTACTGCAAATGTAAGATACTGTTTACATTCATCAATAAATTACTCTATTAATTGTTTACTTAAGAATAAATTTGACTGACAAAAGAAAGAATTAATACCTCATTATCTGTGTCATTTCAGATACAATGGTTATACACAAATATATCCATTTATGACTAAGTCGATAAAATATCATTAGTATATTGAGTTCTACGATATGTATATGATAGCAATAAAAACCTTTCGGGTATTGATCAGTTGCACAGAGACAGGCGAGTATAACAGTTTTAATATAAACATATTAATAAAATAAAAATTATGAACGAAGAACATAGTAAAGAAAAAAAAGAATTTGCAAATGTGAATAAAGATATGAATAGAAGAAATGAAAAGGAACTATCAGAAGAGTTTGAAGAAGATGATCCTCTTACGAAAAGTGAAAAGAAGAATATTGAACATAAGAGAAACTTAGTGAATTCAATTTTAAATATATCGCGTAACATAACAGTGGAACCGTCAATGATACTATTCATTGTACCTTGTATGTTATCAATACAAACATCTCAAAACTTCAATCTAGACAAAGCTTGCAGAGTGAATTTAAATTTCACGGACGAAATCTGTTCTGGCCTGAGAAATCAAAATATGGACGCACAAAACACTTATGAAATGGACACTCAGAAATTAGTATCCTCATATTTGGCAATGAAGACATATCTAACAGCGACAATTCCCTCTCTTTTATCCCTGTTTGTGGGATCGTGGTCGGATATAACGGGATATAGAAAAATTTTCATAATAATACCAATTGTGGGACAGCTATTGGTCTATTTAAACAGTATTATTAATGTTTTCTTCTTCTACGAGCTGAGATTAGAAGCGTTCGTATTTACTGAGGCGATCCTAGAAAGTTTATCTGGCAATTGGTGCATTATGTTTTTAAGTATCTTTTCTTATATAAGCGCTATTACTACAGTGGAGAATCGGACATTTAGAATGGGTATAGTTAGTTTTTGTATGACTGTGAGTTTTCCTATTGGGGTTGGACTAAGTGGTATTCTATTGAAAACAATCGGGTATTATGGATGTTACAGCATCAGTGCGTGCTTACATTTATTGAACTTATTGTATAACACGTGTTTATTGAAAGATCCAGAAAGGACACCCACACAAATGAAGGTATTCTCATAATTTATTTCATTCCTTGCATATTTGCAATTAGTAAATAACCAAGTATATATTTTGTCTCCTTATGTAGATAAAAATTACTCAATTTACATTACATTCAACTTAGATTTTTAAATAATATAATTTTTACTAGTATTTTTCCCTTACTTGTAATTTTATAAATTTACTCAGTTACAAATTAAATTTTTCAAGTCTATAATAATTCTATAAATTATTTAGCTACCCAAAATAATGCTTTAAATGCTAAAGTAAATTAAGTTTTAAATTTAAATAAAAAAATAGCATTTAGGTAAATAGCTAATATATAAATAATTAATTTGTGACTGAGTACATTTATTTAGAATTTATAAAGTTATAAGTAAGAAAATAATTAACAGGAATAATAAAATTATTTTCAAGTGCTCACTAATAAATAATTTTCACCTACATAAGGAAGTTAAAAAAACCTCATATTCAAAATAGTGCTCTAATTTATAGGCAAACTGTATAGAAACAATCAACTCATATTTACTTTTAATAATTAAATTTTTAATATTTATTATTTAATTTATTTATTTAGTAGCGAAATAATTAATAGCAAAAATAATAAAATTAAATTCACTTTGAATTCTATCTACATATCAGGTCCTTTATGAGGTAGGCTAGGAGAACAGAAAGAAAAGACTCTATCTATACGTATGCATTTCTTGCTTCATCCACGTTTATAATTGGAATCATGTACAAGTACATATGCCGATTCCGTAGTCTCGTCTACTAGACAGTATAGTCAATTAATTAACACCTATTTCAATATCTTATCGTTAATAAGTTATCTTTAAATGTGCAAATATAACTAACACTACATTTATCGTATTTATCTTATTATTTTGCTTTTTTTTTTTGTTTTTGTTTTGAAAGAAAGTAAATATATTATAGATTTCTATCGTTATGTAATAAGTTTGAAAAAGTAAATTTCTAGTTTTATCTATTTATTTATTCATATATTTACAAGTGTAAATAAAACAAGCTATGAATACAATATAAGTCACTAATAAGTTTTTACAACTCTAAATATTTATTATAATATATATATTTTTACTACGTATTACCCGCGACTTTTTTTTTATACAATTTAGAATGACAAACAAGCTGACGGGCCACCTGATGGAAAGTGGTAACCGTCGCCTATAGACATGAGCAGTACCATGGACATAACAGAGTATACTGTTTCGCCCATGATACTCCCCATGCATTGCCATTCCTAAGGACTCAGATGTTATTCCTCTGTACCCTGTAAAACACAGCCATGCAAACACAACTGCTTCACAGTAAAAACACGAATGAGACAGAGGTACCCAAGCAATCGACTTTTGTACAAAGTCTCCCTCTGGTCTTTATCCGGGCGATCGCGATATGTTTACTAGGCCTGTAGACAAATGGCAAACGAATTCGTCGATGGAATCGACATCGCTAGCGAGTCCGTGAGATAGAACGAGTTAGCAACGCCGGGTGACTCATTCTAACTTACGAATTCGCTAGCTATGTCGATTCCATTGACGAATTCGCTTGCCACTTGTCTAGAGGGCCTGAACGGAATAAAACGTAGCCTATATCCTTCACCATCCCACATAGTACGTGTAACAAACAAACTAACTTTCCTATTTATAATATTAGTAAAGAAATCTAATTACGTATACCGATAGCATAAGTGGGATCAATATTCTATTATCTTCTCATAAAAAAATAGGTATTTAACACATTTGTTTACATTTAAATAACAATACTGATTTATCTCGTTATGACCTAGTCGTTTATTTATTTTAATAACAATAATTTACTTTCTATAATCAGGTAACGCTTTTCCTTTATCAAATGAATCTATCAATAATTATTTCTATTCTCTCTACCAAATAGACCCGTTACTAGATGCCTTAATAAGTGTCTCTTAGACATTTAGTTAGTTTATTATTATTTTAGTTAGTTTAGTTAGTTAGTTTATTAATAGTTTAGTATTATTTTATTTTAGTTAAACATTTGTTTGAAGGAGAAAGGATTGTTAGTAAAGAGATCTAGGAGTCTCATTACATGCAATATATCAGGTCTACCTTCACGCGGTTTCCTCTGGAAACCATCGTAGTTGATTCTTAAATTGGTCAGGTTGGACTAACTGACCTGCTTTCATCCTCACCAATCACCCTTCACTAGTTCCTCGCCAAAGTATAAACAATAGCGTAGGCGCACCGCCTTCTATTCCATTCCATTTCAGAAATGGAAATAGACAGTTATCCTGCCCAAATTCCAATGTTTCTTTATTTCTCGAAAAATGTATTTATTTAACTCTTTATTACAACAAAAATATAAAAATATACATAATGACAATAAGAAAATTCAAATGAAATATAGTAGCATAAATTACAGATTAAAATATATACTTAAATATACAAAATACGTTTTTATCGCTATGGCGACAACAAAGTTAATTGTTTTAAAACTAAATTAGTCTATTACACCTAATGATTCACGACGAGCCAACTGACCTGAATTCGTCCACATTATATTACAGTTCGTGGCTGTGTGGTCCCGGCATAGAACAAGCCACCCCTTCCTTTCCCGTGGGTGTCGTAAGAGTCGACTATGGGAGGGCGAGGGATAGGTAGCAGCGTCTTGAAACATTTGTTTCTTCAAAAGCCTAACTGCGGTTGCCAATCCGTCTGCCAAGCGTGACAACTATTGTCAAAACCCCCCAAGAGTGGTTTATGTACAGCAGTATGATGATGATGATGAAATTATTGTTCACTAGTGTCCTGACATTGTGTGCTATTCAGAGACTTTGTACAAAAGTCGATTGCTTGGGTACCTCTGTCCCATCCGTGTTTCTACCGTGAATCAGTTGTGTTTGCATGACTGTGTTTCGGTTTAAAGGGTGGGATATGGCGTGAAATTACAGGGTACAGAGGCATAATGCCTTAGTCCTCAGGAATGGCAACGCATGGGGGGTATCATGGGCGAAACAGTATACTCTGTTATGTCCATGGTACTGTTCATGTCTATAGGCGACGGTTACCACTTTCCATCAGGTGAACTGTCAGCTTGTTTGCCATTCAAAGTTGCATAAGAAACATAATATTATTAAAAAAAGTGCCAAATCGGCCCAACCGTTTTCAAATGATACGCTTATCAACGAATTGCATTGAATATTGACTTATATAGATTACAGATAACAAATTACATAATTTATGTGCCCCATTAACACAATAAAAAAAAACCAGCACGTCACGCACACATGTATGTACATTATCTAATAATAATAAACCTTAAGTAATTTATACGAATTACTTTTTATTTTTATTTTTACATATTATTTCTTTATTATTCATATCGTCATCATATCAGCCATTAAATGTCTACTGCTGAACATAGGCTTCCCAGATAAAAGAGGAAAGGTGCCAATAGTTGCCAAATTTAACAAGCGGGTTGGCAACCACAATTAGTCTTTGATGATGTCATAAGAGAGATTCTGCTGCCTATCCCTGAACCATTAAGTTCCATTTAACATTAACCATTAAGTTACCTTAGTTGCCTCTTACGACACCTACGGGCAAGAAGGGGGTGGTTTTTTCTATGCCGGGACCACACGTGTAATCTTTATTTACATATACTATTTTTTTAATTTTTTATTTAAGAACAGCCTGTTTTCCATTACACAGGAAAATCGAATATAGAAGCTTAACAATATAGAATATCTAGAAAACGACTCGTAGTTTATTGATGTTTCCATTATTGATTGAAATCTGCTTCTCCTTTTATTTCTGTACAATTGTACAGTAACTGCTCCTACTGCAACTACGTGAATATTTAAAATAAGAAGACATTTGGATGTTTATATATTTAATACTGATTTACGTCTTAATTGCTGAACGTATTAGTATGAAAATTTATATACAAATAGACTGCATCTTGACTAACATATCCTTATTTTTAATAATAATGAATGCGAGCGAAACAGCTTGGCGCAGTTAGTATAAAATAAACTATCTTTTCAACAGTCTTCAATAAGAAAAAGGTTCTCAATTCACTTGTATTATTTTTTATGTTTGTTACCTCATAACTCCATCAGCTATAAACCGATTTGAAGAATTATTTTTTATCTAAAACAAAGAAATTCTGTTTAATAGCTGACCTTTTAAATTAAAATAACTGTTCTTGCCACGATAGAAGTCGATTTTCTTGTGAACCACAATTTTAAATTATACATTTTGTTTTAGCACGACCATCAAGGCGTTGGGTACTTCTTGCGAACATTCTTTGACTCGTCCAACATCAAGGAAACCATACGGGTGGTATTCGAAAAGGGCCCGAACAAGAGAAGACTCCGTGTGTGTGCTCTGCTAATAGTTGTGAGCATTCTATTTGGACCAATGTTTGGTGAGTTTATAATCATCATCATCATCATATCGATCTTTAACTGTCCACTGCTGAAAATAACCCCCCTCCATTTGGGGGAGGGGGTCCAGTAGTTGACACACTAGACAGGCGGATTAACAACCGCAGTCATGCTTTAGAGATGTTTTAAGAAGGACGTTACTGTCTATCCCTCGCCATCTCTTAGTCACCTTTTACAACACCCATGGAATAGGAAGGGGTGGCCTATTCTATACCGGGACCACACAGCCAGTTTAAGTTTAAGTTTTATAAATTTATAATTGTACATAATTGGATTAAACAATAGAATTCTAGAGAATTCTAGAAATTTTCTTCGGAAGCAGTGTTTATATAAGGCTCTATCTACGTGGCCGTGGTACATTGACTGATCTGAAGCTTTCTATGTCCTATCTATATCTGAAGTACCTATGTCAAATTTTCAAAACTCTTTCTTCAGCTGTTAAATCCATCTAATATTGAGTCGTTAACCAACTCAGTGTCACCTTCATAAGGATATATAGAATTCCATCCCAAATGATACCAGAACGCTGCAGACAGTTCATGTCTTCAAAGCTCAAACGAAAAATTTTTACAATACAATTGACAGTTGACTTTCTGATATATATATATATATATATATATATATATATATTTATATATATATATATATATATATATAATAGTTATTCTATCTTTATGTATATTTTAATATAATTTATCTATATTTTATTACTATGTAGCTCCTAATAATATATTTTATTATTTACCATATTATTTTTGCACCATATATGTTATGCTTTATATACAAACTCTACAGATACTTTCTCCTTTAGGGTTCTCAAAGTAGAATGAAAGAAATCCCTTTAAGGAATAAACCCGTCTTTGTATATTTTTGTTACTACCTAATATCTATATTAAAAGCGAATGTACAAAAGCATATAAATAAATAAATGTTAATATTAATTTATTTATTATTTCTTAGCGCTTTATACTTAACCGATCTGGTACATCCGTTTAGCATTTGGAATGAAAGACATAGGCTAGTGTTTATTCCAGTCAATCAACATATATAGGTCACATGGACAAAGTCGCGTGTAAAAACTAGTAATAGATATAGCAGTCATTAACTGTCACAGACTTATTTTACTGTAAATATTTTACAATTTTTGTCACCATCGCTTGTTTACAACTTAGATTGTTTACGCTACAGCAACGTTCGTAACTTTACATTTAAGTTTTTGCAGTGCAAATTTTATAAACTGCCCAAAATAATATTTGTGTAACTAACTTTTATGTAATGTACAAACAAATTAATGAGCCCCGTGGTGCAGTGTATTGCAGGAATTCAGTAGATACAGATAGCCCAGGACTATTCCTTATGGTAGTCTACGTTGGATGTACAGCGGTGGGCAGTTAACAGCTGATATGAGGATGTTGTTTTTGTGTTGTAATAATGTGGGAATGAGTCGATTGTTAGTAGTTGGTCTATTGCTAGCAATGTAATTTTTGTTTGCAACTTAGAATGGCAAACAAGCTGACGACCCACTTGATGGAAAGTGGTAAGCGTCGCCTATAGACATGAGCAGTACCATGGACATAACAGAGTATACTGTTACGTTCATTATACCCCATGCGTTGCCATTCCTGAGGACTCAGGTGTTATTCCTCTGTACCCAGTAAATTCACGCCATATCCCACCCTTCAAACCGAAACACAGCCATGCAAACACAACTGCTTCACGGTTGAAACACGAATGGGACAGAGGTACCCAAGCAATCGACTTTTGTACAAAGTCTCCCTCTGGTAAACCCTATCATAACGAGCATGACTCGGTTCTCCCTCGAACACATCGTGATTAATTTATCACGATGGATCAAATAATCTGACTTCATCCTCAGATATCACTCGCTGGTGAGTACCAAAAGAGCAGGCATGATTATTATTCCATATTCGTCCATTAAAAAAATATGCATAAATAAGAACCTGAGTTCAATCCTCGATCACGCCAATTAGAAATATTTGTATAATTATTTTTAATTATTTAATTAAATAATTTAACTTTTCTAAATTGGCTCGAACAATAGTTCGAGGTTGATCGATAACCCAGAAGTCCTAGACTCAATAGAGATAATATTTCTCTAGATTCCCTGATTTATCGTTTATAAACATAGAGCACAGTACTTGAGGCTCTACTTAAATATTTTTTTTTATTAATTAATTAAAAATAAATCTATTTTTAACATAAACACATTTATTAATTTAAAATAAAGGCAAGATATTTAGATGGAATTTTTTTTTAATACCACTGAGGTGGCAAACGAGCATACGAGCCACCTGATGGTAAACGGTTACCGAAGCCTATGAACGCCTGCAATACTAGGGATATTACGCACGCATTGCCAACTCTGAAGAAACCTCTTTACCCCCCTATTGAAGAACCCTAATTTAAAATTTAAAATAAAATATACAGCAGGATCTAACTCATAACTTACAGGTTATGAGATTACCTTAAGGTTGTCTTGACAAAATTGCTCTCAGCAATAAGACCGCCTTACTGTACTTATACAATTGTATCGTTGTGTTTGTAAATTGTCTTGCTTATTTCCTATATGGTATAATGCAAATAAAGTATACTCATTCATTCATTCAAATAATAAACATTCGAATCAATAATATTCTAGTTTAATCGATAAAACGCATTTTTTTAATAAGTAAAAAATAGCGTGGTAACCCCGCCTGCGCTATCGGTATACGAGGTTTGTCCGGAAAGTACGTATAAAAGTTTTTTAAAAATTTTATTTTACAATTATTCAGGTAAATCAATTTTATCCCCTTCAAAGTACTCCCCCTGTGACATAATGCACTTGTGCCAACGCCGTTTCCACTGTGAGAAGGCTCCTTGAAAGTCCTCTGGTTGTAGGTTTCTCAGCTGCCCCGTCGTAGCTTTTTTTATCTCATTTATGTCCCCCAAATGCCGCCCCCGAAGTACCAATTTGGTTTTTGGGAACAAGAAGAAGTCACACGGGGCCAAATCCGGCGAATAGGGGGGGTGTTCGGTCACCGTAATGGAATTTTTACTCAAAAACTCACGGAACGATCTTGGCGCAAATTTTTTTCATTTGAAGTTCGTTTCTTAGAATTTCGTGGACCACGGTTTTGCCCAAATTAAGCTCTTCAGCCACCTGTCTGACCGTTAAACGACGGTCCCCATTAACACAAGTTCGAATTCTTTCCACGTTTTCGTCGGAATGTGAAGTGGAAGGACGTCCTGAACGTGGGTCATCTTGAACGCTTTCTCGGCCCTCTCTGAATCTTTTTAGCCACTTGTGGACGGTTGGTTCCTTCACAGCATCATCCCCATAAACTGTTCTGAGATCGGCAAAAATTTCACGGCCATTCTTGCCGAGTTTCGAGAGAAACTTGATTACGACGCGCTGCTCTTCAACGGAAGCGGGCTCCATGCCGACGGGGTTTCGTTAAGAGGTAACTTCACAGATGGCGTGACAAGCCAGTTCGCACCGCACGGCGGTCAGACCAGAACTGAAGCATTGTTAGGGACATAAGGAAGGGGTCCTGCGCTTACCTGGCCTCCCCACTCCTCTTTCTCGCATTCCAGAACACTTTTATACGAACTTTCCGGACAGACCTCGTACACTGACGGACTACCAGCGAGAGATGATAGGTGAGGATGAAAAGACAGGTCAGTTAGCCTATCATGACGAAGTCAACGATGAATTAATCACGATAGTTTCCAGGGAGAACCGTGTGGAAGTCTCCCTGACAGGGTACATTGACAGCAACAGGGACTAACTAACGGACTAACCTTAATAGGGCATTACTAGCAATCGTTTCCCCCCTCCCCCCTGATATAACACCTTAGTAACAACAAAAACAACATAATTAGTGTCTTTTCACAAACATCCTAATCAATGACTGATAACAACATTTCTACAATTTAATAATAGGAATAATTGGATAACTTAAGTGGATTTTTATCGAGAATTCTCGTCTAATTCTGAAACCGTTCTGAAATTAGTTGAGAATTCTCTTAACAAACACGTAACTCAATCCGGTTATTTATTTATTAATGCTTTATTGTATACAAAAATTACAGTTATTCTTACAGTTAAAATGCATTCTTACAAATCTCAAAAAATATTTAATAAATTTTCAAAATTCTTTTACATACAAAAAGCTACATTATCTGGCAGTGACATGGTCTGTCACCGTATGGTCTCAGTATAAAATAGGCCACCCCTTCCTTTCCCGTGGGTGTCGTAAGAGCCGACTAAGAGAGGGGGAGGGGTGGGGAGCAGCGTCCTTCTTACAACATCACTAAAAGTCTAACCGCGATTGCCTACCCACCTGCCAAACGTGGCAAAACCCCAAGGATTCAGTGGACAGTTAAAGGCTATATCAAGGAATGAATGAATGTATGAATTGCTAAAAATATTGAATTAATTTCAGGTGAAATTGCAATAATGTATATGTCAACAAGATACCGATTCAACTGGGACGAGGTCAAGTTCAGTATTTTCCAGACATACAATTTTGTAACACATACAATTGGTATGTATATCTACTATTCTAACTCATATAAATTATTACGTTGATAAGCATATGACCCGCTTGATTGTAAGCAGTTATCGTAGCTATATTAGCGATGCGCGAATCCTAATGATTTTGTTATTCGAATAATTAGTAATTACTAATTTCATAATTCGAACTAAATTAGTAATATAGTAATTTAAAAAACCATAACCAACTACATTCATTACCAATATAAATACTAAAACCATCGAAAATCTACATTCCCTTCTAATATACATATATAATAGTTAATTACCACAAATTACACTTTCCTACTACTTTCATTACAACTATCGGAATTGTGTACTTTTTACTTCATATACATTGGCAACATTCTTGCCTATTCACAAAAAAAAACATTGCAGCGATCGGGTCGACTCGGCTATGTTCGTGTCGACTCGTACATCAGCGACTACTAATAAATAAAATGAGTAGCCATGCAAACACAACTACTTCTCAACGTAGAAACACGAATGTGACAGAGATACCCAAGCAAACGACTTTTGTACAAAATCTCCCTATGGTAAAGTTCCATATAAATTTCATCAAAATTAGTTCAGAAGTTTGAACAGGATTTGCCACGATTGGCATCGATAATTTTGTTTTATTGTGGAAAAAATCCACTTGTTTACCTTCTATTAGACACAGAACCCTATTAACGATATCACTGATAAGTCTAGCATGTTACTACATTTTATCACACATGAAGCTTATATGATTAACTTATCTATGGCACTATATATTATAATAAAACTTTATGATAATTTATTTATAACAATTCTAGTGATCTCATTATTATAATCTTACATAAAATTCTGTTGATATTTTCCATTATCTTGACGCCAGGCATAATTGTCAATTCTAAGGACTTAGGTGTTATGCCTCTGTACCCTGTAAATTCATTACCATATCCCACCCTTCAAACTGAAACAGCCATGCAAACACAACTGCTTCACGGTAGATTTCTTTTTTTGAAGACATATACTTTTTGTTTCACAGACATAATAATAGGTCTAGCATTAAGTACGCCTTTTGTTTTACGTTTGTATTTGGTCAATAATGTTATTTAAATAAATAAATAAAAATCTATCGCTTTAAACATGATATTAAATTACCAATTAATATAATTTTAAATATTGAGAGAAAGTTGCTAAATATAATGTCATAAAAATTAACAAATATGACAATAAATGTGAGAAGAGATCTGTTTGAATCGAAGCATTTGGCGTTCCATAATTTCTGCCTATCCTACTGGGAGACAGGCGTGACAGATATGTTTGTAAATGTGAGTTCTTAATTAATTATTTATTATTATTGGCATTATTGATTATAATAGCAGGGCATGAATAGTATCATTGGCGATACAGTACATTCTGTTATGCTTATGAATGATGAATATCTATAGGCGACGATTACCACTTTCCATCAGGTGGGCCGTCATCTTGTTTGCCATTATAAGTTGCATAAAAAAAAATAAAAAAAAAAAATACGATATTTGAAATAAACTGTGGTAAACATATCGATAGCTACATTTTGTAATGACTTCTTGACATCATGTTATTAAAAAACAATCAAAACTTTTAAACGTCTAAAGATCTAAGTATATTTATGTAAATTTTACATATTTACAGCTGCTTACGTTTGCGTAATTCCTTCTAATTAACACAAACACATGTACTATAGAGACCTTTATCTTTATGTTTGCCCACACGTCACTTGACATCATTCTAATACATCGTAACAATCAAATTTTACCAGAGGAAAACTTTGTACAAAAGTCGATTGCTTGGGTACCTATGTCCCATTCGTGTTTCTACGGTTAAAAGCAGTTTTGTTTGCATGGCTGTGTTTCGGTTTAAAGGGTGGGATATGGCGTGAATTTACTGGGTTTAATGAAGTTACAGAAGAATGACATCTGAGTCCTCAGGAATGGCAACGCATGGGGGGTATCATGGGCGAAACAATATACTCTGTTATGTCCATGGTTATGTATATGTTATGCTCATATCTATAGGCGACGGTTACAACTTTCCATCAGGAGGGCCGTCAGCTTGTTTGCCATTCTAAGTTGTATAAAAAAAAATAGATAGAATGACGACCTCATATACATTGGAAGAAGTCAGCGAATGTATGGTAGGTAGCTCAAGACCATATCTTATGGCAGTCTATGAAAAGGCCTGTGTTTAGCAGTGAACAGATAACGGCTAACATGATGATGATGATGATGAATGTTTTAATATATTTTATAATCAGTCAAAGTCTTGATATGTAGAATATAATTACATTTCTTTAACATGATATTTGATTCTAAAGAACAATTCGACGTTCTTTTTTTATTAATATACGCCACAATTTGTAATAGGCTTATTCCATATACAAAAAAATACCTCCTTTACGTCACGAATACACTCAATATATACAATCAAAAATCAACCCTCCGGTACTGGAGTGAAAATACAATTTACATAAACTAATACTGTTTTCAGGTACACTATTTTCAATAACAGTGTTCAGTAAGCAGCTCAAATGGGACGACTCTATACTGGGTATCATTTCGACTGTAAGCAAGATCGCCGGTTCCTTCGTTTACTGCTTCGCTCCTAATGAAAGAATATTCTATATCGGTGAGTAAAAATATTTTGTATAAATTTCAAAACGCTTATAATATTCCATAACATTAATTTGCAACCGACTTTCAGAAGGAACTTCACAATTTGGTTGTATTTTTTTTTTGTTACCTCATAACTCTGTCAGTTGTAAACCGAATGGAAAAACTCCACTTCAAAATGGCTACACTTTTTTTTTTTGTTATTTGTAATTGTCAAGACAAGATTGGTATGAAAAAAAATATTTGAAAAATCAAAAGGAAAAGTAAAAACTATGGGTTAAAGAGTAGGCAAGGTGTGTTATTATTTTTTTCATAAGTGCATCCGTACGGAGCGAAAGTTAACAATATTATAACAATTTTAAGCTTTATATTATTATTTATTATTATTTCAGCTTTTAACTGTCCACTGCTGAACATAAGCCTTCCCCATAAGGAGAATTTTGCAAATAGTTGCCACGCTTGGCAGGCGGGTTGGCAACAGCAGTTAGGCTTTTAGATATATTTTAAGAGGGAGGTTGATGCTCATCCCTAGTCCCTTAGTCGCCTCTTACGACACACACCGGAAAGGAAGGGGTGGCCCATTCTATATCGGGACAGCATTAGTTTAATAATATCTGAATAACAATAACCATGAAAATAATAAATTTATTTTGTACAACACGTAAACGTAGACATAATAAGCCAGTCTAATCTATATTGATTAAATACTTAATATAGTAAACTATATTATTATATAATACTTGTATTATTATCGAAATAACATTTTATCGAATTATCTAAATTTATTTTCTTTCAACATTTTGTAATGTCATCATTAATTAATTATTTTATACTCATATAAATAATAATATAACTACATATCTGAACATTAATCTTTAGGCACTTCCTTGCTAATAAATATTTGGAATGGATATAATAATATGACTGATTATTTGTTTAGAATGATTTTGTTTAATTCCGCTACAATTAATATGTGCGTGACTGCCAACACTCGAAAATTTATCACCACTATTACTACCAGAAGTTCCACGACCTTCCATCATCGTCATATCAGCCTTGAACTGTCCACTGCTTAACATAAACCATCCCCTTGGGAGGTTTTGCCACTAGTCGCCACACTTGCCAAGCGAATTAACAACTATATTTTAATAGGCACGCTGCTGCCCATACCTCGCCCTCCCTAAGTTGCCTCTTACGACACCCACGGGAAAAAAGTGGTGGCTTATTCTATGCTGGGACCACACGGCCAACTCTCCATATTAACCATCAATCTCCGACTATCGATTCCTTCACGTACACTTTGCGACACATGTTTCCCCTCTAAACGATGCATTTTCAAGCAAATTATTAGACTGCTGCTCAGAACCTAGTGTTAACCGTTCAAACATGTTCAACCGTAAACTGCGAATTACAACAACCGAACATAATTATAGTCGGAGATTGATGGTGAATATGGAAGGTTGTAGAACTTCTGGTAATAATAGTGGTAATCAATCTTCGAGTGTTGGCAATCACACACATACTCATGATAGCGGAATTAAACAAAATAATTCCAATCAAACAACCACTGAATAAGATTTCCACAAGATAACACCTGATTCAGTAAAATATTTAAAAAAAATATGATTTTTCCATGATTATACAGAGAAAACCTGTCATACTAATAAGCTAAATATCACACTTACTAAATAAATAAATATTTTTTCAGCTCCTCTCGTGGAAATACTCAACGGGACATCATTGTTGGCTTTAAGATCAATCATCTCCAAGACCGTCGCACCTAATGAATTAGGTATTATTTTTTATTTTAAATTTAAAAGAAGAAAGAAAGTATTTATTTATAGAATTATAATTAAATTATAAGAAAGTATTAATTTAGTCATGAAACTCACACACAGAATAATACCAAAAACTAAGTATAACAATATAATTAAAAACCAAAAAAAAAAATAAACAACAAAAGGAAATAATAAGATGTGCAAATGTGAAATAGGTCCGATCTCAGCATATTGCTGCAGCGTAAATTTGGTACATAATTATATATAATATATATATCAATGAAATTTATGTACTTAAGAAAATACTTCATAAATTTAGAGTTATAGATCAATGAGATCTAGATATAGTACCTCGCTACTAAGTAATTCCACAAAGCTCCTAATAATTCTTTCCCTCTTCGACTAGCGTTTATTTCTTTATTTTTTTTTTTTTTTAATGGAAATTAAATGTTAAAACGCTATCTAGTTACCAATGAGAAATGACAGATAAAAATGACATCGGTCAGTTGATGCACCGTGATAAGTTCACCTTGGAATTACATATACTTGGAATGGTTTCCAGGATGGTCCATGTGACAGTTTATATGACAGGACTAGCAATTACTCACCCTACCCCATTACTCACCATCACTAGTAATCACCTTCCACTGTTATATTTTTAACAGAGAAAAATAGAATGGTCCATCCATCTATGCTAATGGTATCAAATAACAGAGCACAAGTAGTAAATAAAACTATGAGGAAGACCGTTCTTTGAGATGTTTTTCTTGATACTTCATCTAAATGTGTTTGATCTATTTGGAATAATCCGAGACAAATGAAATCATCTGAAAAAATGCATACTCATATAACAATTCATAAATATTCATATACGTAATAATTTATTACAGATTTACTTATTTTTATGATTTTTATTTGGACAATTGTCTCATACAGATGTTAGTGATAGTTATATCTATACTTATATAATAAAGCAGAAGTGTGTGTTTGTTTGAACACGCTAATCTCAGTAACTTCCAGTCGTACTTAAAACATTATTTTTGCATTTGATAGCTTATTTCCTGAGGAATGTTATAGGCTGTTCAGCATCGCAATAAGGCCACCAGCAAAGCCGCGAAATAAATTTAGTATGAACATAAAACCATCATCTTCTTTCAGGCAAGGTGAACTCCGTGTTTGGATTGACAGAGAACATAATGCCTCTCGTGTATGTTCCACTATACACGAAGGTGTACACATCCACCATGGAGGTTCTGCCTGGAGCCGTCTTCCTCATGAGCGCAGCTTTGACGTTCCCAGCTGTTTGTGTCTTCTCGTAAGTTCTTTTTATTAAATGTTGGGTTGACCTTACGTTTAATTGTCCCCATATTATGCTAGATCCGAAATCATTTCAATCGTTCTATCGGTGAATGGTCTTCTCCCATCAGTCTGATATCTAGACGGTTAGGATTCCGAGGCAGTTCACTCCTGTGAAAGATGCTGAAAGCGATACTCTTAGATACTGCCCGCATAGTACGTCGGTTTCACATCCTGGAGCCCTGAACACCGGCTGACTATGCTTCTGCCAGGGGTTAGTTTGCCATCTCCTCTTCTTAAGAAAAGAGATGTGAATTTTGTTTATTATTATTATTATTATTATTTTATTTATTATTAATTGATTATGAAATATTTATTTATACTTGGCAAAAGATTAGCACTTAAAAACTAAATAAATACCAAGTGAATGAATTATTTTATTTCTAAATTTCTCTAAATCAAATTATTATCAATATTTGGGCTTTAACAAAAATAGTTTTTGGAATCTAAGTGCAGTAAGCAAGTAAGTAATCTAAGTAAATATGTAAATTTTACCAGGAGGAGACTTTGTACAAAAGTCGTTTGCTTGCGCTTCTCTGTCCCATTCGTGTTTCTACCATGAAGCAGTTGTGTTTGCATGGCTGTGTTTTAGTTTGAAAGGTGGGATATGGCAGTAAATTTACAAAATACAGAAAAGTAACACCTGAGTCCTCAGGAATGGCAACGCATCGGAGGTATCATGGGCGAAACAGTTTACTCTGTTATGCCCCCGGTACTGCACATGTCTATAGGCGACGGTTACCACTTTGAGCCGTCAGCTTATTTTCCATTCTAAGTTGTATAAAAAAAGTAAGTAATTATTAATACGAATACATTTTCATTTAAAAAAAAAATAGATTTCAACAGAAATATAAATTATTTTTAAGAACTGACGACAAAAACATTAGAACCAAAGAGTATTAACGGGAGAGAATCTCTCTTTCGTATGTCTCCATACGTGTTTGTAAGAGTGTGTGTGAATAAAATTTCATTCAAATTAATTTATCCATTTAAGCATTAAATAACATTATAATACTTCGAAATGTACAATATAATGAAGATAATATAATGGTACCTGTAATTAATTTTACTATTACAATAAAATTGTTCTAGACAATGTTTGTACATGGAAGATATTTGAAACAAAATGTTATGAGTTATCTTAATAAGAAGTCAAAACAACAATTTTTAAATCTTTTGTTTGTAAATATGTTTGTTCAAGCATTACTCAAAAACTACTGCACCAAATTAGATGCGGTTTACACAATTGTGTTTCTGAAGGTTTAATTTAAAATCTAGTGTATGTTTTATCTTAATGACCCCTTTCACTGATTTCCCTACTTCTAAAATCCATACATACGAAGTAACGTTGTATAAGGCTAAATTTTTATATTACAATCCAGAAAGTAAGTACTTTAGTACTTAGTACTTTTTACATCATGGGTTTTATTCAACTTAGAATGGCAAACAAGCTGACGACCCACCTGATGTAAAGTGGTAACCGTCGCCTATAGACATGAGCAGTACCATGGACATTACAGAGTATACTGTCTCACCCATGATAACCCCCCGAGCGTAGCCATTCCTGTACCCTGTAAATTCACTGCCATATCCTACCCTTCAAACCGAAATACAGCCATGCAAATACAACTGCTTCACGGTAGAAACACGAATGGGAGAGAAGTGCCCAAGCAAACGACTTTTGTACAAAATTTCCCTCTGGTAACTACTACGTACTATAATATTATTACACGTACACATACAAGAGTAATTATTTTATTACTACCATTTATTTTTAACCGTACGTTGAGCGAGTACAAGACTGTACCCAAATATTGGTTTAAGTATTTAATAATATAAAAAGTGGGTAACACACTTAATATTTTTAATCTTTACATAATACCTAATATACTCATAAAACTACGTATGACATTGTCTGTATATAAAAATGTTTTGTAAAAAAGAATTTCACAATAGCATTAGTAATTATGAAAATGATAACGTCTTTATTATCTATGCTTCTATATTAATATTACGTTGATGTTTAACTTGTTTGTTTGTATGTCAGAGAGGTCGGGAGTAAGACTACTCAACTGATTAATAACGTTTACTATTATTATAATATTTATATCAAATAAAAGAAAAAATAGTAGTTTAACATTTCCGATCTTAAAAGTAATTTGTCATAAATAGTCCACTGCTGAACATAAATATACCCCACTGCTTTTAAAAATAGTCATAAAACGGTTCTACTGATAAACTACTGGGCTTAGTAGTTTAGGGCCGTTTTATGGCCATTAGGAGCCAGTACTCCTAACATTACGTTTGGAGGGAAAGGGATTGTTATTAAAGGAAACTAAGAATCCCATTGCTAGTAATATACTCAACCAGGTCGACCTGCACGCTATTCCCCCTAGAAACTATCATGGTTAATTTCTGATAAATTCATCATGATGGGCTAACTGGTTTGTTTTCATTCTCCTCTATCACTCCACACTGGTGCGCCGCCAGCGTATATCGTTAGCCCAAGCGAGGTTACCATTCCATTTCTACCTTCGCAATTTAAACATTGCATTTGAGGTCATCGCAATATCTAGAGGGCGGTCGTACTGCACTGCCTTCGCCTGTACGAAGGCGCCACTGAGCTTTTACCATTGTCTATCAGTTTCTCAAACTATATGACATGCTTATTGCGCTTGTGGCTCAAAACAGTCACTTATGGCAGTCTATGGGAAACGTGTACGTTCAGCAATGAATAACTAATAGCTAAATAAAATAACTGTATAATTATAACTATAACTGTAACATAATGAAGTATTAATTTTTAATCCACTTTTCATTATATTTCAGATGGCTACTGTACGAGCATAGAAAAGGTGTAAAAAAATCAAAAAAAGAAAAAAGGACATCAATGTTAAATTCTATGGAAACTTAGAAATTTATTTTTGTAATAAATAGATAGGTAATAGAATTATAAAAAAAAATACTGTCCACTCTTTTTCTGCATGGGTAGAAGTGATATTTTGGTTTTGTAAGTAGCATCACAGCTATTTAAACTACTTTGAATAAGTGACCAAAATAAAAATGCAACGGCATACATCACGACAACAAATATCACAGTCTAAAAATCACATCTTTATAAAGTGTTGTGCCAACAACTAGCTATTTTGACACCTTTAATAATATGTCCCAAGCGATTACATAACAATTCAGTATGGATTTCTTTGTATAGACGTGTCTGTTGGCCGACTGATAAGTTCATAAGACTTGATACTATAATCAATAGGTATTCAAAGTACACTGCGCCAACAAATCTAGATATATTTATGTATATACCAAATCTATACCGAATCACACTGTTATATATTTAAAGTGAAATTATTTTCACAAATTTTTCACTTTTTGGCCATTATGTTAATTGTATAATGAGTTATCGATGAAAATTCATAAAGAGAAAAAACAATAAAAACATTACCCTCGTTTTTGGTACTCGGATAAAACAAGTATGTTTACAATTAGACGGTTATTTATACAACGCTAACTTTTACCCGCGACTTCGTCTGCATGGTCGAAATATTTACTGATTAGGATAAAAGTAGGCTATTATCTCTCTCCATCCCTTATAATACGTACCAATATATACCAAATGTAACATAACTATTGTATTTCTTGCGGGCTCTTCTCAACAGATAACAACTTTCCGAACCCTGCATTCGTAAAAAATTACGATTTAAAAGTTTCTGAACCCTGCATTCATAAAAAAATTACAATTTAAAAATGTTTGTAAACAAGTATATTTGAATAAAGATGATTTGAAATTGATTGGATAATCTGTTAAGGAGCTAAGAGGTAACAAACAAACTCACGTTTATAATAATAATAGTAATGTATGCAAAGTAAATTCACGTTCTTCATCGATTGTAAAATGGTTTCAGTAACGATTATTATCTTAATTTACTTATAAACCAATTTTCTTTTAGTTAAACCAGTACCTATTATAGTCACCCACTTTACTAATTGACTAAAGTTGAATTCGTTTATTTTTATTAACCTTTTATTCCATCAATCAATTCCAATAATGCAATGTTAAATTCTATAAGTGCGTAATGTCACTCACATTTTAAATTATATACAGATGTTATTCTAAAATTGTGTGGAATGTGACACTTCTATAAATAATGAATCATCATTTTGCAATATTTAGTACCATGGACATAACAAAGTATACTGTTTCGCCCATGATACCCCTCATGCGTTGCCATTCCTGAGGACTCAGGTGTTATTCCTCTGTACCCTGTAAATTCACGCCATATCCCACCCTTCAAACCGAAACACAGCCATGCAAACACAACTGCTTCACGGTTGAAACACGAATGCGACAGAGGTGCCCAAGCAATCGACTTTTGTACAAAGTCTCCCTCTGGTGATAATTGTAGAAAGAATATTTTTTTAAATTGTTTTCAATATGAACACAAAGTATAAGCGTAATAAGCTTGTAACACTTAAGCTATCATGTCAATGGTAGATTTGAGATTATAATTAGAATTGTAAGCAACAATAGAACAATAATACAACTCCATTTAAAGTACTGCCTCGAAATCTGCGAGAGTGTATGTATTTTGTATGTGTGCAATGATTTAAGGTCAATGATGATGTAAGTATAAGGACATTTTAGTTATATCTAAAGAAAAGTGCTTTTGAATAAATTCTTTCATAACACTAGAAATTTCTGTGGAAAATTTCAACAAAGTGAGCATTGTTGTTTTGATGTTTCTATTATTAATTAGTATTTTTTTAATATATTTATATTAAAACCCTATAACACGTTTCTTTTGTTTTCTTCTTTAACGATATTTATAACTTATTTACCTTTCCTACATTTACAATCCCTAATTTTGATCCGCGTCATTACATTATATACATTTATCAGCAGAATAATAATAAAGCAATGTAAATATTTAGAATAGATTGAGTGCCACACAATAAACTTTATCGTGTAAAACAAATAAGCACCATTAATTACAGTAATATAATAATATATCTGAATTAAAACACAACACTCGATTTGTAAGCAGTTGAAAATTACAGGAAGACTGAAAACATGTATTTTTCCTCTTGACGTGAAATTCATTAAGCATGGATTCCTTAAACGATACTCGCTCAGACTTTATAAAAGAAAAACACAACGAAACTAATAAAGATGCTATTGATGAGCAAACTCCTTTAAAATCAGAGGAAAGTACTAATGACAAATCAAAACATGAAGCCGAAGAAAGAAAACTTTCCATATTGGAAAGGCTGAGAATAATAAAAGCGAACATAACAGTTGAGCCTATTATGGCGTGCTACATAATGCCTAGCGTACTTGCGTCCCTCGCAACGCAAAACTTGAACTTAGAAAAGGCTTGCCGTGTCAATCTGAACTTTAGCGCCGAAGTTTGCGACGCGCTGACTATGCGAGCGACGGAAAACTACACCCAAGAAGAGATAGAGGTCCAAACGTTAACGGCTAGTGTTCAAGCATGGAAAAATATTGTTCAAACTGCCATACCAGTGATGCTGATACTATTCGTCGGTGCTTGGAGTGACAAGACTGGGAAACGGAAATCTTGCATCATGCTACCAATTGTTGGAGAATTTCTGACATGTGTTGGCTTTATCATTAATACGTATTATTTTTACGAGCTGCCAGTTGAAGTTGCAGCTTTAACAGAAGCCATATTTCCAGCTATCACGGGTGGTTGGTTTACGAATTTTATAGGTGTATTCAGCTACATAAGTGATATAACGACGGTCGAAGAAAGAACGTATAGAGTGGGCATAGTGAATTTATGTATGACCCTTGGATACCCTATAGGCAGTGCTCTGAGTGGAATTCTTTTAACTTGGATCGGGTATTACGGAGTATTTTCTTTATCGGCGATACTTTATTTCTTTAGTTTAATATACGGTTATTATTATTTGGAGGAACCTAAAACTGCGAAGCTTGAAAAAAATGTAAGTACACGCGTATTAATATAGAATTTTTGAATTTATAAGTTATAGTTATTTATTAATAAATAATTTATTTATGCCAAAAACATACGTGTTTACAGAAAAAAAAGGACGCGGTTTCCTAAGGGAATTCTTTGATGTTTCACTCGTGTTAGACACATTTAAAGTTGCCTTCAAAAAAGGGCCTGGAAACAGAAGGCTGAGGGTAGCTTTGCTTCTAATCGCTGTGTGCGTTATATTTGGACCTATGCATGGTGAGTATGTTTCTCTATTTATAAAACTTTATATACTCGTAGCACTAGTTTTTTATACAACATCTAGACGTTGTATTAACTTCTAGATGTAGTATCAGTCATATCTGTAAGTAGAACTTGGGGAATAAAATTGTATAAACCGCATCCAATTTCGTGCAGTAGTTTTTCCATAATGCCAGAACAAACACAAAGACAGACTAACAAACAGAGAAAATTCTTAAACATTATTATTTTAACCTCTATTGGTTTTATTAAGACACCTTATAATGTTTTTCCTCAAATATTTTTAATGTTGTGTGATGTTTCCTCCAACGAATGCTCAGGTCATGGAATGAGCTTCCCTGCCGAGATTTTCCCAAAATGGGAAAAAGAGGTTTCTTCAGGTTCGGCAACGCGCGCGTAATATCTCTGATATTGCAGGTGTTCATAGGCTACGGTAACCACTTGCAATCAGGTGGGACCTATGCTTGTATGCCACCTCAGTAGTATAAAAAAAATGTACACACATCCTTTAGTTACAATTTTATTATGTCAAAGTGCTGGAAAATGACCATTGACTGATATAATTTGCGGGTAACCTCCGGGATACAATAGAATCGTAAATGAGATAACGGGTTCGGTTCTAGGCGTCGAGCCAAGTTTGAGAGCAATTGAGAATAATACTTATTATAGGTACTGTTAAATTAATGCAAATTGCTAGTGTAGAATCTGAAATTAGCTTATCCGTAGTAGAACCGCATAAGTGACCGATATAGCCCGAAAGAATAGCAAGCTGCAGTAACAATAGGCCGATCATATATCGAAACAATAAGGAGGGTTTTCAACTAGCGATCTGTACAGGTAAAAGTAATCACCATTACCTTCATATTGAAGTGACAAACGTCCAAAGTATGATTTTTAAACCAATTGTTAGCATATCATTTCACTGTTACATCACTATTTTTATATATTCACCAGTGAACTATCAAGAGCTACAATTAAGGTAATGAAACCACGACATGCGTGATACCGGGATGAACACGTTACTTTGCATAAATGTGAACAGGTTTGAATCCCGGTCATGTCCATTTAGAAAAAGAACTTTTTAAAATTACTAAGATCTGGGTGTTTTTGGGTGATTTAGATATTCGTTGCTTGATTGCTTATAATACAGGCTATTCTAACTTGAAAATAAAGGGATTAGTGTGACTCATAGACTGCTTCTGTTCTGCCAGTAATTGCCAAGCTCGGTAATCGAGTTGGCAACCGCAGTCTGGCTTTAGAGATGTTTTAAGAGAGAAGCTGCTACCTATCCCTCACCAAGTCGTCGCTTACGACACCCACTGGAAACGAAGGGGTGGCCCATTCTTTACCAGTACAACACTGTTTAATCTATTTTAATTAATTAACACTAACTGAATAATCAAACGAATGAGTTTACCAAAAATATATATATATAAACACATAACATTTTCTGTACTGTAACTTCGTTAACACAATAAAACATGTTTGTTATGACAAAATTTCGAAACTATTAATTAACAAAATGATTATAGCGTCAGTTATATCAAAATTAACAGCTAGTTTCATAGTGAATTGTTACCGTAAAATTTGCAATTGTTTTCAGGTGAATTCAGCGTTCTGTACCTGTTCGCTAGGTATAGATTCAATTGGGATGAAGTACAATACAGTATATGGTCTACTTACTCGATTGTGACGAATTTATTAGGTGAGTTTACTGACATATTGTTCTAATCTAATCTAATATTTGTCAACACGTGTTTCGGTATATCCATCACGGGCATTCATGTCTCTTTATGTATGTTTTTTCTAGCAAATAAATTTCATTTTAATTTAAAAATTTCAAATTTAATAAATGTAAAGTTAGAAACGGAATTTGGATAAAAGAGCTTTAAATTTATACACAGCGATTGTTGAACTTTATATAATAAGCATGCTTAATACATGTAAAACGCTTTTTACTTCTAACCTTTTTACAAATAGTATTAAGTGCGATAATAGGAGAGTAGGGCAGTGACAATAATAAAATAATAATATTAGAGAGGCTACCAGTATAATTTTCTCGGGGGGAAAGGGATTGTTAGTAATGGAGACTGAGAATCCCAGGAAACCAGGTCGACCTCCTCGCGGTTCCCCCTGGAAACTATCATGGTTAATTCCTGATGAATTTATCATAATGGGCTAACTGGCCTGTTTTCATCCTCATCTATCACCCTTCGCTGGTTCTCCGCCAGTGTATCCCATTAGCGCAGGCGGAGTTACCGTTGCCATACCATTTTTACCCATAAAAAAAAAGTATAATTTTCTTAAGACGAAATGTGTACAATATGGCAATCGAGTAAGAAACATAAAAGTTATCAAAAGACATAATCAAAATATAGAAATATTATATAAATCTAAAAAGGTAAACGTATATAAAAAAAAATGTCCGTCGCCAACAAATATTTGATATTTAGGAAGAACTTGTTTTCTATTTTGTAGAATACGATTGAAAATATGTTTTTTTTTATATACTTTTATCTTTTATATATTTATATAACATTTTTAATGTTTCTTTTTATATTATATGTTTGCTTTTAATGAATTACTCAAGCTGTACACATAATGTAATTGGATTATAACCTAGCCGAATCACAAATGTAATTATTACTTAAGTTTTTAAGGTTGTGATCTGTTTTATATGCCAATAAAATAAAATAAAAAAAAATAGTACACAACACCTTAAATATCTACGAAATAATTATACTAATATTTGTCAATACGTGTTTAGATCTATTAATCTTAGACATTTGAATAAATATAAAAACAGAGTACTTACTCTTTGGTTATTCAAACGCTCGCGTTGTAACCAATATTTTGTAAACTTTCAGGTACGCTGTTCTCAATAGCGCTATTCAGTAAATATATGAATTTGGATGACACTCTGCTTGGAATTATATCGTGTACAAGCAAAATTGTGGCTGCATTTGGATACGCATTCGCGAAAACTAATTTGGAAATATACTTGGGTAAGTAGTATAATTATATTTTCCATAGAAAGAAACTCCCGTAGATATTATTGTTTTATCTTTTTTTTTTTTTATATTAACGACTGGCGATTTACGTTTCTAACACTAAACTAACCTAACCTAGAAAAGGCAGGTACTATTCTTAATTTGAAATTTCAATATAAAATTGTCTAACAAAAGCATAAAACAATAAATAAATAATACTTTTATAACTTATTTATAAACAATTGTGGAACAAATGTAAATACAAAATGTATTTTTAATGATATAACCAGCTTCATACGGGTAGATAGAGACAGAATTTTCGAAAATAATCTATATTACTCGCTAATAATGTAATTTTCTATATATAAGATAATGTGTAAATTCGGTTGAGTGATTTTTTAATTTATCCATTACAAACATACAATTCAATCTTTTCTGTTTATAATATATAATAGATAAAATAAGGTGCATAGATAAGATTTTTTAAATAGAGCATATGTTTTTTTTTTTTTTATTATTATACCGTGGCATTAACTTTAAAGACTAAATTATGAAAATAGTGGCAGGAATCCCGTCTTAATTATTTTATTAACTCTCACACTTAATTGTAATATCGTAATGTATATTTTAGTTTGACGATAAAAGAAAACTGCCTAGTGTCATGCATTTAATTTTAATATAAAAGTGATTTAAACTAATGTTGAGTCTATGAATCGAATAGACTGAATTTAGCAATACTGTAGACGTTACTAATAACCTAAAATCCCGTCGTTGATTTCTGCAAGTATAAGAGTATTTAATGTAATTTGGTTTAAAAGAAAAAATTGCTAAAATATATTACAATGTTTTCCGGTTGCCAGCTCTCAATTAGCCGCGACTTAAGGTTGCTTTATATCTGTAGAAATCAGCATTAGAATCTTAGACTATAAAGAGAATTATCTCTCAAAACTATTCACACATAGTTCTTTTTTTGAAATTTTAAACTACGTGCTTTCGTAATGTAAAATTATCTTTTTTTTTTTAATATTATTGTTTCCATAAAGACAAAAGACAGCACTTATACTGTTTTTAAACTTTTTGGTGAGCTTTGAAAATTTTGTATTCAGTTAGTGTTCCTTTTATGTAAAGGAACAAAGGATCTCAATTTTATTGTCATATTATCTAAATTTTACAGTAATATTATAGAACTAAATCGTTTTAGATAATGTTATGATCAACAGATAATATGTACCACAAACATTTACTTATTTGAGCGTACCAATATTTAATATATACGTTATAGTATATAGTTTTATATATATATATATCCTAAGGTAACCGCGAAAATGTATAAAGATTTATATAAGCTGTTCAAAAAATATTTTCATTTAAAAATAAAACGTATACAAATTAATTAATGACAATGCAATTATTTCTGGTGCACAAACATAACAGTGGCCTGTATAAACTTGCAACAAGCATCGCTTATTCATATTCCCCGCGTATATATTACTTTGTTAAGTTAAGCCCGTCTGGTTCTCTACGTAGTCCGAATCTGAGTAGAACTTTATAATACAGTGTGTTCCGAGTTATGCTCTCGCGCTGTTTGCATTCAGTTTAATGAATTTAACTTCCACCCAAATAATGTTATATGCTCTGTAAATGTATATCTCAGCCTCCATTCTGCAGACTACAACTTCGTGTACATCCTGTATATTGAACAGAGAGAATTTAATAATTGATCTATGGTCCGTAATTGATTTGATAGAATAACATATATATTTTTATATTTTTATAATTATAATAAACAGATTTATTTCTCTTCACAATTTTATGATAATACTTATATTAAACAAATTATATATTTTGTAACTATGGTCACCATATATATATATATATATATATATATATATATATATATATATATATATATATATATATATATATATATATATATATATATATATATACATGAGTGGGACAACGGTACCCAAGCGGACAAATTTTGTACAAAGTCTCCCTCTGATATGAACATGATGATGAACAATATATTCGTAATAGCACAATGTACGTAATTGTACAATTAATTGTACTAAATACACACTTTTCCTGACGCTGACTAAGAGATAATGCTTTTAGTATTAAGTCCGCCTTGTTTACATATTTTGTATTAAAAAATAATTAATTAAGGGTAACATCATGTGAAAATAACATTTTATCATAAAAATTGATATCCAACGACAATCAGAATTTGTAACTAGATACCAAAAAGTATACGAGAACTCCCATTTAGAAAATTTTAAAATTCACTGAAACATTAGCGTGTTGAGGAGTCCTTCTGTAGCGGACAAGAGTTTTTGACGCAAAAGTGCTTACCTATGTAAATTACCTATCTTATTATATCATACAATGCAGCTTTTATTTGACAGTAACGTTTCTTTTTTTAATGTTGACACATGCATAAATTTCGACGAGCGGCTAATCATTGACTTTTGTAACTCGAACCATTCTGGGCCTGTATTACAAATATATATATGCTCGCGATTGTAGTACCTTATAGGATAGTCAGAGGTGTCTATACTACATATATATTAGATATCTTATTATACATACATAAAATAACATAACATATATATACATAATAATATATCATTTCGTTGAGCACATTAGAATCCATCATAATCTAGTCCAGAAGTTATAGACAGCAAATTAACATTTTTGTATATTTATTTTTGTATAGGATTTCAGAGACTTTTAGAGTTAATCTCACCTGTTGTAATAAATAAATTATAACAATGTATTTTTTGTGTACAATTAAATATAAATAAATAAATAATAGCCACGTAGGTCTCGGCATAGAATACCGCTTCCTTTTCCGTGGGTGTCGCAAGGCGACTAAGGGAACATATGGTGCAGGGATGGGCAGCAGCATTCCTCTTAAAACATCCCCAAAAGCCAAACTGCAGTTGCCAATCCGCCTGCCAAACGTAGCAACTACTTATTAGAAACGCCCCTTATGGGAAGAGGCTATGTTTAACAGGGGACAATTAACGGCTGATAAAAAAAAACAAATAAATAAATAAACATTTATACTTTTTACGTTTATAAATTTTACATGCATCATTATGACGAATTATGTGGACTTATACCTGTTGTTAACATCTACATAATTTATTTATTCGAATGAATGACTGTTTCTTGTAAATAAATAAATTTAATAAATTAAATTTTTAAATATAATTAAATTTTTCAATTGCAATGATTAAATAATAAAATCACCTAATGTCATCCATTTGCCACTTAAGCTACCGAGAAATACGTATTATTTGTATTTTAGTTTATAATTGACACTCGACGCTATCTGTAATGCCTTCTAAAACAAACACTCGAGTGCCATTGTAGATAGATTCTATTATCTAATAATTAATTTTAATATCGTTTTATTACTCGTCAGATAACGCCATGTTCCATTTCACTCTGGTTTAATTCTAGTAACAATATCATTTGTTCTTTCCATTGATGTATTTGTCTAGACAATACGTCTGTTATAAACAATGAGTTAATAATAGGAAAAGTTATTCAAGTACGCGCCTCCGGTTTGTATGCTTACCGTTATAGTGGAAAATAACAAAAGGATTATTTCCAAAATGTAAATATATAATGTATTTTTTTTTTAATATTGATCATATTAAAAAAAAACTAACTGTTTATAAAAATGGTGGTTCTTTTCTTTACAATTATCATATCAGCCTTTAACTGTTCAACTTCTAAAAAAATTGTTCTAGAAGCTTCTCCTAAAAATGTATAAGCCTAACTGTTGTTTCCATTAATAAAGTTTCGAGAATAATCAAACTGCTCATGTCTATAAGGTGGAACACACTTGTTCACATTCTAAGTTGTATAAAAAAAATTACCTTAAACTATGGATATACCTACTATTTATTGACACCACATTACCATACCATACCATATTAGCCGTTAACTGTCCACTGCTGGACATTGGCTTTCCCTTGAGGAATTTTGCCAGCAATTGCCACGCTTGACAGGTGGGTTGGCAACTGCAGTTAGATTTTGGTGATGTTTTAAGAGAAACGCTGTTACCCATCCCTCGACTATTATAATCCCATAGTTGCCTTTTACGACACACACAGAAAAGAAAGTAGTAATACAACAATATAGATATATTTTTTAAAAATATATCAGTCTATTTCATCCCCAAAATATCATAAACAGCTAAAGATATAAAACACACCTCACAAGTGCAAAAAAATTAAACCCTATGGTACTGACCAGTGTTGTAATAGTAAGCTAATACTATTTTCTTATGGGAACAACTCGTGCCAAGATATGAGATATTAATGAAGTTGTTATGGATGGATAGAAGTGTTTTATCACAATATAAGATAGCTGCCAAAAGTTAGTCTATACGACCAACTGTTTAGTCTTCAATTCCGTGCAATATACTTGATGTACAGGACTATAATATATTAGGATCCCAAAAATAAGCCGACTTAAGCTATTAAACCTTTATTGGAAAATATAACAATTAAATAGGCAAAATAATAAATATTAATATAAAAATAAATGCAAAACAGATTTCGTTCCATAAAAAACATCAACTTCAATATTACAAAATAAGTAATTTACATTTAAAAACTAAAATATTCATATATATATATATATATATATATATATATATATATATATATATATATATATATATATATATATATATATATATATATATATATATATATATATATATATACCACTTCTGATGAAAACTTCTTGTTAGTTTTCTAAATCGGTTTATAAATGATGAAGTCCTGAGATAATAAACGTAAAAAAAATAGAATCAAATTGAGAACCTTGCTCTTTTTTAAAGTCGGTTGCAAAAGAGAAAGTTCGATTCGATTCGATTCTATATTTTTAAGTTTGTTACCTCAAAATTCCGTCATTTATAAACCGATTCGGATTTTTATTTTCTCTGAAAGGATATAGTTACAGATTGATCCCATAGAAATTTAATTAAAATCAATTCCGTAATTTATTTTTGAACTCAAAATAATTAGTTTTACCGCAAATTAAATCAGTTTTTTTTAAATCGATTGATAAAATAGATAAGTTTCTTGTGCTCGAGATAGCCGCTCTATCTAGTTAGTGGAAGTTAGTAGTCCCTCTACACTATAAATTGGGAGAAAATATAATAAATAAAATATACCTTCTTTTAACAGTTCCCCTTCTTGAAATCCTGAATGGCACCTCATTCATTGCAATGCGGTCAATAGCTACGAAACTTGTTGATGGCGATGACGTCGGTAAGTAAAGTTCCGATTATTTTAATTTTTTTTTATACTACATAGAATGGCAAACAAACTGACGGTCCACCTGATGGAAAGTGGTAAACGTCGCCTATAGACATGAGCATGATAATGTTTTGCACATGACACCCCTCATGCGTTGCCATTCCTGAGGACTCAGGTGTTATTCCTCTGTACCCAGTAAATTCATGCCATATCCCACTCTTCAAACCGAAATACAGCCATGCAAACACAACTGCTTCACGGTTGAAACACGAATGGGATCGACGATTATCAATTTCCAATAGATAGACCACCAGTTTGTTTGCCTTTCTTAGTTAAATAAAAAATGTACAGTATAAAAAAAATACCAAGAGAAAAAATCTTTTGTATTTTTCACTATTATTATTTTATTACTTCGTCTTAATTGGATGTTTTATATATATAAATATATGCCAATAGACATAACATTACACAGCATTAATTAGTTACAAATTAATTAAGCTTGTACTATGGATACAAGATTAGATATACTATTATTCACATCATTCCTATACTATATAGATAAATTACAAATATCGTTACCGAGGATAACAATCAATTAGATATTTTTTTTTTAATAAACAAACAACTAATTAATCTATAAATACAAAATCCAAATTTATATATGTTCAAGTATATACAAAATCACAAAGTTCTTTTCCGGATAAATATTCTTTTATTTATTCGGAAATCGAATTTTATCTATTATTTATTTTTTATCTATTACTCTAATTCAGTTCAATTTATTCGATAACAATATTACATTGTGTTGAATGTGATAATTTTTTAAGATTTTATAATTACAAAATCACAAATATACAACTAATTAATAATATTACTTACAAATAAATCAATAATAATTAGTCTGAATTAATATAAATAACAATTGTAATAAAAATTTTGTAACTAATTAACTGGCAATTAATTTATTACTAAAATTCGTTTATTGTGTAAATGTATTTTTCCAACAAAAGGGCACGGAGTTTGATTTTTAGAATTCTCCAATTTCGGATAAGTTTCAGAACAATTGGTAATCTGTTATACAACTTCTTTCCTTGAAAATGCGTTCCATGTATAATTACTAATCTCTAAATATATATTTCCAGAGAAAAAAGAATATTTCAAATTGACTGTGTAAAAAGAGTACAGCCGAATTGAAAACCTCCTTCTTTTCGAAGTCGATTCAAAAACTAAAAAATACTTCAAAACTTTACAGGTAAAGTGAACTCCCTGTTTGGGCTAGCCGAAGCGACAATGCCCTTAGTATATGGGCCTTTATACTCCAGAGTTTACATGGAAACACTAAAAGTACTTCCGGGAGCTGTATTCCTAATGGGAGCCCTGCTTACTTTACCGGCTATCGCTATATTTGGGTAAGAGACACTTGTAACATTAATCCTTCTTTGCATAATAGTGGAAATTTCCATCACAACATTGAATGCCGAAAAATTATATAAAAGAACAAGTTCACTTTAAGTTGATCGTGTATCGATACCTTTTTAATGTCCATTGCAGAAAAAAAAACATAGCTGTCTAATTTATTTTTTTAACCATTTTTCCTTTAATTTTGAACATGAATTATATCACCTTGATTTATTTCACCAATAAAAAAATCATGCAAAGAAAGGTTAACTACTAAACTACTGATCATTATTTGTTTATTCATTCGTTTGTACACATTTAAATGGCCATAAGATCTATGTTCATTAATGAACAAATAACGGTTGATATAATGATATAGACACATTGAAATATGTACACAGGATGGACTTAAAGCCTGATGGTATTTTCTACCAGTCAATCGTTACGCCAAATAGGGGGAGTAAATTGCTTGAGTACCTCTGTCCCATTCGTGTTTCTACCATGAAGCAGTTGTGTTTGCATGGCTGTGTTTCGGTTTGAAGGGTGGGATATGGCGTGAATTTACTGGGTACAGAGGAATAACATCTGAGTCCTTAGGAATGGCAACGCATGGGGGGTATCATGGGCGAAACAGTATACACTGTTATGTCCATGGTACTGCTTATGTCTATAGGCGACGATTACCACTTTCCATCAGGTGGACCGTCAGCTTGTTTACTAAGTTTATTCTAAGTTGTATAAAAAAAAAATATTGATAGACAACAACATTAATACATACATTTGAAAATGAACATACATACAAATAGTAACTATAATATCATCCATATCAGCCGTTAACTGTCCACTGCTGAACAAAGGTCTCCCTCACAAGGTGGGCTTTGCCAGTAGTTGCCATGCTTGGTAGAATTTATATATATATAGATAGATAGATAGATAGATAGATAGATATAGATATACTCTTATTTCATAACATCTTAGCAACATTTTTGTATCCACATGAAACGACATCGTAACTGAGACACCAAAAACTTGCTATTTTTCAGGTGGCTGTATTTTGAACATAAAAAAGACATTTTAAGAAATGCTGCTACAAAGTCAACAGACGCTGAGAAGTGTTAACACAAGAGAGAAATATAATAGTTGCTACACAGTAGTAAAAAACTTTTTTTTTTTATAAAAATACGTGCCAAGTGAACTGTGCAATAGAACAGTGACAATAACAAAAATTGCACTTGTTTTAATCTTTTTCGACTTTTGTAATGGATTGTACATACTTACATTATCAATAATACCAACCAAATGAACTTTTCGTACAATAGTACATGGCGGAAAACACAAATTACGGAAATATACAGATTTTTTAATGGGTGGTAATGGAATGGTAACCCCGCTATCGGTATACGCTGGCGGGATACCAGTGAGAGAAGATAGATTTGGGTGAAAACAAATCAGTTAGCCCATTGTGACGAATTTCACAAGAATTTACCAAGATAGTTTCCAGGGGGGACCACCTGGAAGTCAACATGATAGGGTATATTGCTAGCAATGTTAGAACCCTTAACAATCTCTTTTCCTCAAGTCTCTTTTCTCTTTTCCTTAGTCCTCAGGAATAGCTATAAATAGCTATAACACTTAAAGAATATTACGAACGTATTACGCCCATTATACGCGGATGTATACGTTTTAAATACTAGGATCGATCCCGTGGCGCCATCTCTCTAAACTTACTACTAAAATTTCATTTTCAATTTGATATCACAACGATATAAATTCCAAATGAACTCAATTTCCAATAGTCAGATCAGATATTTTAGTTGTCATGTCAACAAATTACTATTAGTCAAAATTATATCGAAAAAACTCGACTAGTTTCGGAATCAATTCGTGACCCTTAATCATGAGCGACTGTGATTATTACAGTATTGTTATTTATTATTGCGGTAGTTATTACATTAAAATATAATCTATGCTCACAAAACTTTTAACAATAAAATCATAAATTTAGTTTTTAATGTCCCATAAAATGGTAATTTCGCAAAATTACCAATTTAAAATATTAGGTTAAGTGGTCAATTTAGAAAAATATAAAATTTACAGAATTAGTGTATTCTGTGACATTTATGGTGCCAGTCATGTCTATAGACAACAGTTGCCGCTCTGGTCGTCACAGTAGATCGTCACTTTGTTGCCACTTCAAATTCCATAAAATATACTTTTTCAGTTATATTTTTTTTTATCATAACACATTTTTATTTAGTAATTTTATTATATATATTTTTTTATTTATTTTATTTTATACAAAAATCCACAGCTCTTAAAAATAACTTACATGCTAAGTCTCTTATGAATACAGCCAATAACTGATTTTATTTATACAAATAAAAATTTTGATACCAAAGCGAGGTAGGCAAGTTAGAGTGGGTGTATGCAAGTAATATAAGCACATGTATAGTAATGTTAAACATTACTATAATCTAGTAATTTCTAGTAACAGTGTTGCTGAATGTACACACAAACAGTACCAGTGTAATTTGAAATTTTGACATAATACAATTTAACTTAATAATATTGATTGTACTGAATACATATGTAGGTACTTAAATATTCAAGCGATGAGTATCTATCTTAAATGCATAATAAAAAATGTCTGTACATAATAATGAAGAACTTACCATAAATATATAAATATTTAACTACATTTCTAATTTGTTATCCATCCGTGAAAAAAAAATATATCTCTCCAACTTTTGTTATCATAATAAAGTGTAATAAACGTTTTTTCTACTTTTAGAACAAAAGTTGTTTTATTTTTTGTTTTTTTTTTTTTTATTTATTATTTACCTACTTCTTGAAACATAAATAAAGTCGTAAATTACATTTATAACATATTGTTGATATTTTAAATATCTTCATTACATGCTAATCATAACGGAATTCAAATTTTGGTATCATGGTAACCTAACCGGTCAAGTTTAGGGGAAAGGGATTGTTAGCAATGGAGTTTGACAGCCCCATTGCTAGCAATATGCCTTATTAGGTCGACCTCCACGTGGTTCCCCCTGGAAACCAACGTGAACAATTATTGTTGAATTCGTCACGCTGGGCTAACTGACCTGCTTCAGCCTCACCTATCGTCCTTCACTGGTGCCACGCCGGTGTATACTGATAGCGCGGGTGGGGTTACCACTCCATTATCATCCATTAAAAAAAACCGGTCAGGTTACCACTTTCCATCAGGTTAGCAGTCAGATTGTTTGTCATTGTAACTTGCATAAAAAAATATAAGACAATAATTTGTTAGTTTTAACCTTAACCTTTCATTGTTATTATTCTAATTTTATCCATTTCTCCTGCTAACAAATATATGAAACTTGTACACATACAACATAACATGAAACACGAATCTAATTGGATATTTCATAATCGATAAATTTCTCAAATGTTTACTTTAAAATATGGCTACCATCGATAATAGTTTTCTCATAACTTTTGAGATTGTGAAAAAAATATTTCTTTTCGAATGTTTTGAATATGTGTGGCAACAAAATTTGTTCAAAAATTGTTGATTTTTGAACAAAAACAGCGACGAATGGATGTTGCTCAGGAATTGCTAAGCTAAATGAAGTCAACCATGGTGCAAAATTACTCAAACGTGTTATAATAGGTGACGAAATATGGGTTTATGGATATGACGTCGAGACTAAGACTCAATACAAATTCTTTGATCCATTTCGTTTGTCATTCGTAAATCATGCTCACGTCTAACCTAAACGGTTTCCACAGAAAAAGTAAACAGCTGAAAATTTTATTATACTTTAAAGGTATTCATACCAACATTAATAAAAAAAATTACAATCGAACTACGAATATAAACCCGCAAATTTTAAAAATTTCCTTTATTTCCTGAACACAACTAGTGTGTATTGTAAAAAATCTAAATTGAAATTTACAAAAAATATAATAGATGTTATTTACATGCTTCACTTACAGCACACGAATAACAACAAACATAAATAGACATACGCAAAAAAAAGATATATGTTTATATAAAAAGAAAAAAACATGCAAATATGTAACTTCGCTTGTTATAAAATAAATAAATGTAAATAATAAACAAAATATAACATTATCCATTTGAACAGTTTCAAATATTCCCAAATATTCCAATATATCTTCTACAGAATATTATTTTCATATACCTAACCTCGAAACTGGAAGGGAAGGGATTGTTAAAAATGGGGAGGTTAGTCCCCATTGCTATCAATATACCCTATCAGGTCGACCTCCACGTTCCCCCTAGTTCCCCCTGGTAACTATCGTGACTAATTTATCACTGAATTCGTCACGATAGGCTAACTGATCTGCCTTTTCACCCTTGCCTATCACCTCTCACAGGTACCCCGCCAGTGTATACCAATAGCGCAGGCAGGGTTACCATGCCATTTTCACTCATTAAAAAAAGAACCTCAAAACTAAAAACGATAATATGGCAGCATTTTCTTTGACAAACCCCAAGTGCACTGACAGCGCCGCATTGCTCAACGATCATTAATTATTTCCAAAACAGCCTTTAAAATTTCAAAACCTCATTAAGATACGCCTGAACCAACTCACATAAAAGGTTTTAGAATAATACAAAAGGTAATTTTCGCTTATTCATTACACGTAATTAAAAGAGGCTGCGATAATGATGAGGCCCGGGGAATTAATAACATGTAAAATAATGGCCGAGTTAGTGGTATATAGGTTCAAACTCAGCATGAGGGCTTGATATGACTCGTTAGCGGGTGAGTAGACTGTTTTATGGAATCCATTATTAAGATCGCCGAGTAATTTTATGGAGCACCGAGAATAAGCTTAAAGATTTTACATTGAAACAAAATTATTTAAAATGCGGATATAAGAAACTCAATATTATATAATCTTTAAGACGCCTTTCTTAATGACAATTTTATTTTAAAGCTTTTAAAATTGTCTTCATGTGATCATTGCAAGGATAGTTATGACCTTAATGGTTTAACGATTTAACACTACCTCATTTTCCGACGGTAGTGTACGTATCAAATACACAATACCCACACTTTATCTATAAACCTTTATACTTAATAGTATTCTATTTTTATTAAACATGTCACATAGTGTTTTAATATAATAAGTCTAAGATCTAAGTGTGATCTTGTGTCTAAGATACAAGTTACAACTTAGTTTAGGCTCCAGATCTCCCACAAATTACGATATTTTTATTTAATATAAAGTAAATAATCTATACATACATTATAATGTAATAAGTGCCGGTTTATCTTACATGTAATTAAATCAAGATAGCTCGACTAGTTTAGGAATCAATTCGTGATCCTTAATCATGAGCGACTGTGACGAAATGAGTCAGATTCGCATTCGCGTCAAATTAAAACGATAGTTACATTTATATAATTTGTGCTTACAAAACTTTTAACAATATAACATACTACCATTTAACCCAAATTAAGCAGAGCATATACTATTTGGCTATATTTCTTTATAAGCATAAATTCATACTAAACACAGAAAATAGAAACATACTATGTACATACATGTTCGTGAATATCAGTTGTATTGAACAATGATCGATTACTCGATTATCGGAAGGATATGCAATGTGTTTAATATCTCAGTATCCGATCTGAGACTTTTGCTATACAAATACAAAAACTGTACAATTAATCAAATTGTGCAGTTATTTACAATTACAATTCTAAATATTTATTTTACGTATTTATTTACACTTTATTGTACTATTTAAAAAACACTAAACATAGTAAACTTTAATACTAAATGGTACAAAAAACAGCCTTATCATTAAGGAATTTCTTTCAGACAATCTTTGGGTAAAGGACATTGAGAAAAAAGACAAAGGGTAGGTGGCAGACTATTATATAGATACTAAAATATACAAACAAATTTACTAAAAAATTAAAAAGATAACTTTAGATGCTCATAATAAAAATTAAAGAATCACAAATTGAGATTTAATTAATAAGATATTTTAGGTGGTCCTTATCACTAATTAATTAATTGGAATTAATTCGTTTAATTCAGCTACCATTAACCTGTACTAAAGTATATAATATCCATGTGGTCCCAGCATATAATAGGCCACCCCTTCCTTTCCGTGGGTGTCGTAGGGGAGGCGACTAAGGGAGGGGCTCGCCCTCCCTTACGGGCAGCAGCATCCCTATTAAAACATGTCTAACGCCTGACTGCAGTTGCCAATCCGTCTGCCAAGCGTGGCAACTATTGGCAAAACCCCCAAGGGGGAGTCTTATATTCAGCAGAACACAGTTAAAGGCTAATATAATAATTGATGGATACATATAAAAATAACACCTAATTAAGTAAACATACACTATTTATCACTTATTTATTTATAACAGCATGAATTTCCGTAAGCAAAAGCCCAACACTTTCACAATAACAAAAATCTCCAAGTGTCGCAGACTGGTTAATGAGGAAACACTATTCAGGTGTGGAGTTTGCGCTTGCAGTGCTCATGAGACCTAAATTAACGTCTAGTCTACATCGCTCAAGTGACTGTGTACAAGTCATCTGTATACAAAACTACTATATATATATATATGTATATATAGGTATACAAAATTGAGAGCGGTACCGCGATGAGCATTTTGCTTGTTAGTTTAACGCCTGTTAACGAAGAAATGGAATTTCTATTGAGACGAACTTCCCTTTGAATACGCTGGTTTAAATACATTTAATCGTAGAAATTTTAATGAAAAGGTATATTTAGTTTATAATTATAGTAAAATCACCGTATATGTGTCAGCATAGAATAGGCCACTCCTTTCTTTCCCGTTGGTGTCGTAAGAGGCGACTAAGGAAACTTATGTTCGAGGGATGGGCAGCAGCGTACCTCTTAAAACATCTGTAAATCCTAACTGCGGTTGGCAACCCGCCTGTTAAGCGTGGCAACTATTGGCAATACTCC